GTGAACAAAGTGCTCTTAGCCTTATGAGGCAGCTCTACAGAGAAATGGGGCACAAAAAAGATATATGATGCAACATTTGTTTGTGGGCCGTTGTGCTGATTTGTGGATGCGTGATGCTTTGTTTACCCAGTCTGTGTTCCTGTTAGCTGTAGCCCAAACTCACAGCCCACACTGGTTTTGTCACTGCAGCTGGGCTGAAAACCGTTCGGTGTGGAGGTTCCAGAAGACCAGGCAGACCTGGTTACTGCAGCACATGTTCGACTCTGAGAAAGTAACGGGACCCTCCGTCTTCAGCCGGCTTTCTATATTTTGTTTGATGAGGTTTTGACAGTTGGTATTCAACCAACAGCCCTTTACATTTACCAGAAATCTTTTTGCTTTGTGGCCACAATCATTACTTAGTAGCATGGCAAAAGCTAATAGTCGGTAAAATGATTAAACGGTCAGAGACACCTTTTTAAAAAATGTTTTACTTGATCTACAGTAACAGTGTGACTGTTTTCAAATTGAGGAATTAGGATTATCTGACCTGAGAAAACCACCTCCCTCCCTGCTGACTGCCAGAAAGGAAGCTGCACCATCTTTTACAAGTCTCTTTGTCCATTGAGCAATTCCTTTAATATTTTGCTGAGTGAAATGTCAGTAGATGGCAAGGTGAGATGAGACGTGAAGAAGGTGGACCTTACCGTGCCAAAGTAGATGTAGTTCCTGCACTTACAAAAAAACCTCTTCAGAGAAAGTGGGAGTCTGAACAATCCATTCCACATCATCAGGTTCTTTGTTTGGAATCGGAGTAATAGTATTGTTTCATCATGTATTTAGAAGGGATCATCTGGAAATGTTGTTTTCAGATTCCAGAAGAGAAGTTCCCGGTCCTGCTTGAGTATCTGGAGGGACTCCAGGGTGCAGCAAAGGACACCACGGTGCAGAAGGCCTTATCCCTGGTGGAGGAGTCTGGACGAGCACCGGATGACTCAGTCGTCCAGCAGAGGGCGTGTCGAGCCAGAGAAGTTATTCAGCTGTTTTCCTGACACATTGCTAGAGACCGACAATGGGGAAATTACTCGCTCATGACAAAAGACTCGATCAGAGGACTGAGCTGATCTCAGGCTTGGACCAAAGTGGCTGTTTTTCTATGAAGAACTTTTGACTGGTCCAGTATAGTTTAGATGTTGCAATTAAATTCATCTTTGTTCTCTATTTTTAAGCATTGCTCCTGTGCACTTTTTAAGAAGAAGTACAGTAATTAATATGCAACCAAACAAGAAACCGTTTAAACCCAAAAGGTCATTTTCGCTCGTGACATTTTCCAACTCAGATATGAGGAGGTTTACAAGTAGATGTTAAGTTTTGACAGAATGGCAGAACTCAATCCTTTCAGAGTATTTGTATTCCCCAAAATGAAGTGGCAAGCTTTGAAACCTGTGGAGTTATTTCTCAGGAATGTTTGTACTGGAGACATGTTGGTGCACGTCAAGGCCCAAACGTAATCAGTGAAGTCGTTGACATGAACGACTTATTTTTCTCTGTAGATATGATCAGGCAAAGCATGTTTTGTTTTGATAACTCATATAAACACAACCCGAACTTGTCATTCCTGTTCCAAACGTGTGCATTTCAGTTTCATTGCGTTTTTCTAACTAATTTACAACTGATATTGAGATCAGTTTTTACAATCTACATAACGGATGCAGTTTTAAACTGGAAAAGATCAACCTGCTGATTCAAGGAATAAGAAGACAAAATGTGCACTGACACTCCTGTTTCAGGTTGCAAAGATACAGGAGGGAGGCTGCATAGCTCCAATTCTTGTTGAGACAAGTCTTCACAGGATGAAACTTTCTCCAGTCCATTTAACATCCCTTGAATGTGAGTGTTTGACAGCTGCATCCTCTGTGCACTGTTTCGTCCTCACTTTCTGCTTTGTGCTTTGAGTCATCAGATGTGGGTATCGGCTTGTAATTCAGTTCACAGAAGTATGCCGAACTTCCACAAGGACACAGCTGCGGTACATTCTTTTACTGCTCCTTGCAAGGCATTTAAGGAATGAGTCCTTCCAAGATGGCATACTAGATCAGTTTCTGGTACCGCAGGCAGGTGGATGGTGGAAAAATAAGCTGACATTGCACAAAAACACGAGGTGCACATGTAGGTAAAGGCAGGTGGGGTCAATGGATGGATAAATGTGCTGAACCACACTTGATGTTTTGAAAAAGTCTTTAAAAAGCCAGTAAATGTTTTTTTCTGATGTCATGCAAATATGTACCAGTTTTCATACTCTAAAGCATTCCATAATACATTAGGAAGATACTAAAGATATGTGATAAAGCTTTAAATCAGAGTGAAAAAACCGACCTACCGTAGCTCCAAAGCTTGTGCAAAAAATTGTTTACATTTAAGGTATATCAATTCCAATTTTGCTTTCATGTTAATTTAATTAGCTAAATAAAGAAAATAGCATTGTACATCGTGGGAATAAGCATGTTGTCTAAAAAAACATTGTCTGTCAACTTAAAATCCAGTTATACCGTCAATCGAGAAGTAATGTCACACAAATTTGTTAAATTGAAAAGGATTACTGTGATGAGAGCAGAAAATCCCAACACAAAGAGCTTGGAACAATTAGTATTTATTCAGTGACACACTGAAGCACACTCAACACATCCATTAACCCATATCAGTATTGGTCTGATGCATTAACACATGCACCTGATCTGGCGTTAATGGATGGCGGTGAGTGAAAGCACTGCTTCATCATGATGTCAACAATCCAGTCCCCCACATACAGACCAAGTAGACGAAAGAAATTATCCAGTGTGCAGCTTCAAAGAGCCCCACTCGTCTTTCTGAAATGCTAAATTTTAGCCTTTAGACCCAATCGTGTTGATCTGGCAAAATGGAAGGCAGTAGTTGTTGACCACTAGCCATTTTTCACCTGAAAAACTCCTCATTAAACTACTACTGCGGTTTCTGGTGAGCAGGTTCATGAGGTTCCAAGGTGTGAAAAAGAAAAAAAACTAACAGCAACATGACGGTACACAATTTGAAACAAGGCCTTAGCATTTAAAAAAAAAAAAGTATAAATACACTACAGTATTCAATAATTTACATTTACAATGCATTTAGCATCTGCCCCAGAATCCATTTGTGAGATGAGTATACTTTTCAGTAAACCATTGAAAACCACCAAAGTCTTTTTGTATGGATTTGAGGATTAAGCTCTTATTTTTTAAGAGAAGTGCCAAAGACAAGTGAAGACATGACCACCATGAACTAATTTTTCCTTTTTCAAAATAATTTATTTTCTTCCAAATTGTTGCATTCTTACGTGTAGCAGCATTAGCAACCAACTGGCTGTCGAAGCACTTTAAAAAAAACAAAAAACAGTTTACAACTCTTGATGAAGAAAAAAAAAAACTCTTTTTGGAAGTTGATGAATTGAGCTGCAGATCCATCAGCTTTAGTGGCTGTGTTGCAAAACCTGCAGACTCTGATGTTTCACTGCAGATCTAAAAGGCCAGTGTCTCCTCTCAAGTGTTGATCCCGAGTTACCACACTCTGTGTACCTTTTTTGTCGTCTGCTGCAACAAACAACATTCTGAAAGTTAACATTCTATAATAGATTATGTAGCTGTAGGACTTTGGGTGTGCTTGCTTACTTGGTTGGGAATCATAAGGAATATTATGTTGAGAGAGGAGAGCATGCAGCCTTGCAATCTCTTCCTTCTGTTTTTTAGAATCCTGCACAAATTTAAAAAAAAAAAAGTTAGAACAATAAGTTCAATTGTGTTCCTTTGCATAATTCTGTTTTTATTTTACTTTATCCATACCTCTTCACATTTCTTTAAGGAGTCATGCTTTTCTGAATTTACTGGCTTGTCTGGTAGATTAACTTCCATTTTGTGGCTCTTCAGGAATCCAGCGTCCTCAAAAATATCCCTCAGGAGATTGTTGTATCCCTGAATCAAACATAGCAGACAACTCAGGATGGCATAAAAGTAAAGATGCCTACCACATTTCTATTTTTAACATCAAATCTAATATTTAAAAAAAGCAGACAGAAGAAGGAACAAACTGTATTTTGAAATCACTTTGTTTTTCACAAAAGAAATCATGTACATTTTTCAATCTTTCAAACAGCAAAAAATCTGATAGTTCAAAGTTCCACTCACCTGTTCTGTAATAAGACCTTCATAAAGAGCCTGTTCCGCATCATCCCACTCTTTTTGTAGCTTCTCATTCAGGGTGGGGTACACTAAAAATAAAACATATGTAAATAAATAAATGATGGATAACTACTTTAACCCTGCAGTCTAAAGAGATTTTTTTCTTTAGTCTTACCGAGCAGAGAATGTGGGTGGCAAACGAGTGGTGTCTCAAAAGTTAAAGAGTACATGCAGGTACTGGGCTCTGACACTTGAGCCAGCTTGCTGCTATTGCTGCAGACCAGAATCACCTAAGGAACCATGACAACAGACAAGCTGCAGAAATGAAATTGGTGTAATTGTGCTAATGATTTTTAAAAGGCTGTGCTAATATGATGGTGAACAGGCAGCTGCGTAAAAAAACGTAAACTAGGACAGGTTTAGATGTGAACTGCTTCAATCATTCACCTCCAAAAATGTTGCTTTTTCCGGTTTTATATTCAAACGAACTGATGCCAATGAGGGCTTTTAAAGAGCCAGTATTATGTTCAATTACACATTTGACTTTTTTTTATTTTTATATATAGTCACAGAACATTCACTTAAAGAAAAAATTAAACCAAACTGATTCAAACTTTCAGCTTTAACAGTTACATTGTGATAAAATCTATTTAAATTGCATCACCTTTGTTTCTCTGTTTCTGGTTCCACAAGCATCACCATCTCTCATCCACATGCCGGAGAAAGTGTTGTTTTTTATTTCCCACTCCTGCCAGATCCTACCACAAACGCACTAACATATTCACATCTGCAATTCAAACAGCACTATAATAACCTTTTCCTGCAGCTTCTTACCCCAATATCCCACTGTAGGCATTCCACCTAAAGGACAGCTCATGTTGAGTAATGTTGTGGAATGGGCAGAATTCATATTTATACCTGCAAAATGACCAGTTAAAAAGCTGATGAGTTTTTCAGTTGGACATAGCAAGCACAACAATATACATACAAGTAAATGTGTATTTAAATACTTACGTTGACTCTGTAAGGCTGAAGCACTTTCCAGCAAGATGATGAAGATGCTCTGGGCCTTCAGAAAGACATTATTGTTGGCATTAACCATATTCAGTGACTGAAATGATATTGTCACGCCTGAAGTTGAACGATGAACTTGTAATATACGTTGACAAAAAAATTAATAAAATAGTGGATCCACATAATCTGAGATGTATTGTTACCCGATACTGATGACGGGTTTACTTTAGGCTGCAGTCTGTTCCCTTGGGCCAAAAAAGGATTGTTCAAACTAAACACAAGAGAAAGTAGTTAGGGGGACTGTAAACATTATGAATACCCTGACAGATGTGTACTTGCTTTGTACCCAAATGTGTTTGGTTCTTCAACTATCTTCATTTTACCGGCGAATCCATGATCAACTGCATGAAAAAGGTGTCGACATTAGCAAAAAAAAAAAACAATCGATAACAATCAGCACTGCTTCAGAACGCGGCGCAAGCTGTTTAACTTTTAAAATGATAATTTGCTTTATGAATTTACTTACAATAAAGAGACAAACAGACCGCCCACAGCCTTATAATATGAGATATTTCCTTATTCAGACTGTACATGACTGGTATGAATTATTTTCTCGCCACGTTTCCTGCTACGCTCCGAGTCGTCAGATGACTGGTCACGTGACCAAAATAAACCAGGAGCATGCGCGGTTTACGTGTGGTGCGACACGCTTTACAAGTACAAGTAGCTAAGCTAACCAAGCTGCGTTTGTGTATACTGTATATCACCGATGTATCGAATAATGACAATTACGTGGGGATTATGTTAATAAGTATATTTTAAACGCTGATAATACAAATATAAGTACTTAACATTTGGAGAGAAAAGCTCGTCTGAGTGAGAGTGTTATCGAGCTAATGTCAAGATAAAACACACTAACAGGTGCTGGTTCGTTTAAAAGCAAGTTGTAGTCTGACAGTATCCTTACCAGAATACGAGTTTCAACATGGGACGAAAGAAACAGGGCAAGTTTGTTCGTTCTGACAATAAGGGCAAAGACAAAAGGCACAAAATGAAGGGGAAATCTTTAGAAGCTTTTACAGAGGAAATGCACTCCGCCTTTGAAGGTAATTCTAAGTGAAAAAACGTTACTTTTTGTCAACATTGTATCTTCGTTGTACGTTATTAAGTTAATCGTATGTACGTTCAGAGAATTGCTGGTCTGATATGATATACACCTAAATATAGAACCATAATATTTCCATGTATGATATAATTAGTAGAGATTGAATACGTTGTAAAAATGTAATGACATATTCATTTTTGATAGAGACATTTAATACATTTAACTTTGCCTGAAACCCATTTGTGTCTGTATGTAGAGCGCAGCATTAAACTAGTTATGGACTCCATGCAGAAAACAAATTAAAAGTACTTTTCTTGTAGAATGAACTATTTGTCCTCACATTGTGTTTCTCAGCAAGTCTTCAGTCAGGAGAAGGAGCTGAGGCCCCACTGGTCAAACTGCCGTGTCCACTTGCCATGTGGGAGCTGGGTCACTGTGATCCTAAACGCTGCACAGGCAGAAAATTGGTGCGGAAGGGCTTTGTACGCAATCTGCGTCTCAACCAGAGATTTAATGGTCTCATACTGAGTCCGATGGGGACTAAGTATGTGACACCTGCAGACAGGTGTGTTGACCCGCATCCTCTACTCCGCATCTCTTGAAAACGCCGCTGTCTTTTGAAAGTTCTGAACTGTTCCACCTTGTAGTCCTTATTAATAAAAATGGGCGATAAGCTGTCACATTTTTTCATGAATGCTCTCATAACGTGTTTATGTCTGATTATAAAAATACATTCAAATAGCTTTTACAATGAAATGTCATTTTGGCCATTGAATTTTTCTTTGATACTTTTTACCTGAATCTGGCATTCTCATCAAATAGTTTTAAATAATTATATGTTTGTGGACTTTCACCCACAGGGAAATAGTGGCTCAGAATGGCCTAGCGGTGATCGACTGTTCATGGGCCAAACTGGAGGAGACGCCCTTCAGCAAGATGGTGGGAAGTCATCCCAGGTTACTGCCGTACCTCGTAGCTGCAAACCCTGTCAACTATGGCAAGCCTTGCAAGTTATCTTGCGTTGAGGCATTTGCTGCCACATTCTGCATTGTTGGTAAGGATTTAACCCAAGTTATTTAGGAAGAAATTACTCTGTCGTCCGTCTGACAGCTATGACTGGTTATGACGGTGAAACTGTGGCAATATGTGACATTTCAGGTTTTGAAGAACTGGCACTGCTCCTGCTAAGGAAATTCAAATGGGGGACGGTGTTCTTAGAGCTCAATAAAATTCTGCTGGACCGGTACGCTGCCTGTCAGTCAGAGGAAGAGCTGCTGTCTGTGGAGAAGGACTTTCTCACGCTTAAACCTGAAGAGGAGGAGTTTGGTAAATTGGGAGGAAGAAATAAGCAGGGATTGATAATGTGTTTACTCTTTGGCTGTTTTCAGGCATAAATTTCCATATGAGTTATTCTATGAAATCGAGTTATACCTTCGATTGATAAGGTTTTCAGCTTAGTGAAATAGTGATTAATGTTCTCTAAGTTGATGATTTTCTTTCTTTTGTGCCATGTTTATTGTTGACCTGCCCATTTTTCCTGTTCACAGATCCATTTGATGTTAACTCTGGAGTAGAATGTATTAATATCAACAGACGCCACTGGTAAGAACTTAATATTGCTCACAAAAGCATAAATACTGGGAGATCTGGTTATAAATGTATTATTTCTATGGTAAAACACATCGAAAGTACAGATAATGTAATGAATTAAAGATGGACTGAAAGAAAGTGTGGAAGTAGTTTTAAAACACAGGTTCCAATAGATTCCCCATAAAAAAAACCCACTTCTCTTGTAAAATATTAAATCAATGCATAGTTCTCACATAGTCATGGTTTAATTATTTAGATTCTCTCCTTCTTATCAGTGTGCTGATGGTTCCTCTAAAAATAATAAATCTTCTCCAGCATTGATTAAGTTTTTTTTAATTATATATCCATCAAGATGGACACGCACAGAACTCGAGGCTTCAAATATGCTAGATGATAAACCAATTCCTCTTCTATTTCTAGTTTTTGGTACTGATCAAAAATAATATGTTAGAAGTACAAACGTAAAGTTGCCTTTGAATGTATATATACAACTGTCAGGTGAGTTACTTTACCACTGACAAATATCCAATTTCTTAACTGTTAACAGGTCTGGGATTGCTTTTGTTTTGGAGTCATTGTTCAGTTGAACTAATTATATACACTTTCCCACCTCCGGTGTTTTCTTTCGTAACATCTACAAAAAACGGTGACCCTGTCAATGGAGGCTATGCAGGCTCATGCCAGTACAGTGTTGCTATGTAGTCTTTTGGAATGGTGTCATACCCTCCCAATCATACTTGATTTTAAGACTTCTCTTTGAATTAAACTTTTCTGGTCCTCTTTGGTCTTAATTTAAATTTTCCAAATGATACAGATTAAGACCCAGTTGTGCTTTTGGTTTCTTTAGGCTTTGCACTTCACTTCTGTTCTTTTCTGTTAATACTGAGACCCTGTGTTGTACTGCAGATTTTCCCCTGAGAATATGTCAAACTTTTGATTTTTATCACTCATAAAGTTTGTGCTGACTCACGGATGGCTTTAATTTCTATGGCGGTCCTCACGCAATCAAATGTCACAATGTAGGTTGGATTATTTACAGATTGAAAGATAATGGAATGAACTGTACATGAAACTGCATTCAAGCCTCTCAGAAAGTTGGAATAATTAGAGAGCTGTAACTCAGCTCTCTCATGGATCAATGGATTACATCTATTAAAATGGGCAACCCCTAAAAAAAAAAACTGATGCCAAACATATTTGCACTTCCCTAAATGGTTGTTTTCTAAAAGCTGTTAAATATTCATTTCCGATTTTAGTACACCTGAAGACGATGATACTAGTGAGGAATCAGACACTTCTGAAGATGACGACAGCAAAGCAGAAGATGAAAACACAGATATGGGCAAAGAGTCAATCGGAGACTCACGTGAAGAAGAAGATGAAAAGGGGGACTGAATAACAGGAGCCTATGATGAACAATGGATAGTTTTATGTGGATGTCTTTGATGGAAAGATTAGCAAAAGTCATTTCACCCTTAATACAGAAAGATTCATGTTTCCATGGAAGTCATACTGTGCAGAGTTAATAAAAATAATTTGATAATATTTAGTTTTTCTTGAGTATATATTTGCACCCTTAATTTGTTTGTAAGTTAATTAAGAATTGCAAACCACTCAATCAAAAATATAAATAATTTGGAAAACATGTGTACACATGAATATAGTAAATATTTTTATATACACAGACATATTTATATGTGTTTGTGTAAGTTATAACATTTCACTTCCAAATCTATTTATTTAACTATGCTGTCAAGTGTGTTATTTGATCTCAACACAAACCAAATCATCTGCAGCTTTTATTATAGGTTCGAAAAAGGCATATAAATACACACATTTCCGTTGGCTAGATGTAGTTTGCTGTTTTCAGTGAGTGCACGAAAATGTGAGTTACACTTTCGTAAGGGAGCCGTGAACGGGCCTTGCTGCGATCGCTCTAAAAACTATAGCGCATATAGTTTGTAGGCCACATCTTGAATAGCATTTGAATATCAACAACCGCTGCCGTTTCACTTCAGTCCTACCAGTAAGATGAAGTTCAGTAGGTTGTAACAGTGGCTGGGGGCGGACACAGCAGGACTCTCCTCTGCTGTCCTGCGGTAACATTGTTGTGGAACGACGTCACAGCTCGAAAATGAAGGCGCAGAGGCAGCCATTACTGGAGCTTCTCTAATTATTTTATTCCAAATAAATACTCGCGGAAAACCCCATGGCAAGAGCTACAAGTCAGCTGGTAAGTGTTGCAGCTAAGACTAGAATAACAGTTCGAAGCCGGTGCTGAAACATGTACAGTGCAGGAGATATGTGATAATAAGTAGTTATGCGAGGCCTTCATTTGAAGAGCAATGCTAGCCGGAAAATACCGTTTAACGTTGCCACTCACTAGCATTCTTAGCAAGTGCTGGCTAACACAACACCCAGCATTTCTCCGGTTAATCTGGGCTGCTCGGCATCTGACGCGGTTTGTAATTACACCAATTTATTTTACACATGTAAACATGAAACATCTATTAATACTGTTTTACATTAATTGTGGAGCATGTGTGACCATTCTCTGCTTCCCAGTAACTGTTGACTAATGTTAGCATAGGGTTCGCGCTTTCGACCGATGCTCCAACTCGCACTCAAGCTAATGTTAGCTTTATTGCGTTCCACCTTTGAGAAGATCGTTTTCTAAAGATAACATCGCGTTGTTCGAGCGTCAACTTTTCAGATTTAGGCAATAACATCAGCTCTCTAAACTGGAATCTGAATACAAAATACTAACGTAAGATTTCGGACGGATTTGAAGTTTGTTGTGTTACCAAGGTGCTAACCATAGCTAATTTGGCTTGCTGTTAGCGTTAAGTTTTGTACTTGCTGTCAGCGATGGCCGGCATTATTTGTTAAGGTAGCAGAAGCTAATGCTAACGTGTTAGCAGGTTTTAGTTAGCAAAGAAAGTTCGCACAGACCAGTTGTTACCCGAGTACTCAGCTTCAGGATAGCGATATCTGAGGTTTGTCTGACAACCATTAAACGGTTGACATATTAATAATTGGTAGTGATAATTACTGGACATTTGGAAACCATAAGTCAAGCTCGGAATAGGCAGCTAAATGGCCACACCTTGGTTTTGAATGAAAATAAGCTAGGGCAGCTAAACTAATAAACGTTAACAAGACTGTAAGTAGGTGCTTTAGTTCAATAAGATAGAACCATTTGACATAGTTTAAAACAGAGCAATCACTGGACGTTTCTGTCAGTCTCTGGGCCCTCCTCTATGAGTCTTCTTTTCATTAGGTGGGTTTCACCTTCCTTTTTATGAACGTGTGCTCCCATGCCAGTTGTGTGTCCCTAAAATGTGATGACTTTAATGTCACTGTTCATGTAAGCTCTGCTCACACGAAAACGGCAACTTTGACATAATTTTGTTTTATTACTTTAACAAAAAGGGTGGGACCAGCAGCTCCTTCATCAGCCTTTCCAATAGTTGCTTGTCTTTATCAACACTGGACTTTGCCCTTCAAGTAGCTTCCTTGGAATTGTTCATTTGCTTTATAGGATCCCACAGGACTGTTAACCACAAAAAGTTTAATCTGCAGACTTGGAATTTAGATCTCATATGTAATGCCTTTTCTCTTTGGTTTTGTAAGGTAATTTGAAAAGCGGTTGAGTGGTCAGCACCTAGCTGTTTATTTCATTACATTATCTTTTTCCGTTAAGCAGCATTCACTGCTTTGATTGTTCCTTAATGAAGATCGTAACATTGCCCTTAGATGACTATTATCTTTCAAAACTATACATTTGTCATAATTTATAACAGGATGTGTCAGTGATAAACTTTCCGGCATAATACTTGTTGGTCATGACAAAATTCTGAATGACTCATTTCTCGTAATTTTCAGAAAGTAGCATGGGGTAATATGATATTTTTAAGGATAAGGTCATCCTTTTCCGGTAAAGATCCGATACAAACTGCTCTTTTTTATTTAGGCTAAAATCTATTAGAAATGTCACACAGCTGGGTCACTCTGACAGATAGATCTTCTCATTGGTCTCTGTTTTCTTCCAGTATGATGTTGTGCCCATTCAGCCCAACGTTGCCATCTGTTCCTGCTCACATTCATCAATGTTAAGAAACCACCCTGACTCCTGCTCGCCACTCGCTATCCCCGGCGCAAGCAGCAGTCACTGCCCTGCTATGGAGGGCTCAGCCTCAGAGGCTCGTGCTGTAGGAGCGTCTGCTAGCAGCCAGGGCTCAGATGTCCGTACACAGCCAGCCGTCCAGGCTCCTCAGCCACGCAAGAAGAAACCAGAAGATTTCAAGTTTGGCAAGATTCTCGGAGAGGGCTCCTTCTCAACGGTATGTAACTGTCATTCCTCTCCCTGAGTTATAATGGGGTAGATGTTACTACATGCTAGCATTTTTTTAAAATTAATACACTTAGATGAGTCATCCCAGGTTCATTTAAGGTGAATTAGCAAATGAACTCGAAGAATTTTTAGATCTTGTCCCCGGTCAGACAAGCTTGTGACTTGCAACATTACCTCACATTCTGTTTCTTCATCCTAAGGTCGTCCTGGCAAGAGAGCAGGTCACAGCAAAAGAATATGCAAGTAAGTAATATTACAACAGCTTTTGGCATGTCCAACAAAATTAACTTTATAAAGAAAATGGATGAGATATCAAGTGCTCTTTAAATTAAACTTTCGTTTCTTCCACCCAGTTAAGATTTTAGAAAAGCGCCACATTATGAAGGAGAACAAAGTCCAGTACGTGAGAAGAGAAAGGGATTTGATGTCAAGTCTTGATCACCCTTTCTTTGTCAAGCTCTACTTCACATTTCAAGACGATGAGAAGTTGTGTATCCTCTTAACTGGCTGTCAGGGCCACGTCATGCATTGGCTTCTATGTTTTTATTTTTTGTGTGATTTAAACAAAAGTTTTCCTTAAGTGGGATTTCACAGATTTTGGTCTCAGCTATGCCAAGAATGGCGAGCTTCTGAAATACATTCGCAAAATTGGTTCATTTGATGAGAACTGTACACGATTCTACTCGGCAGAAATAGTTTGTGCTCTAGAATACTTACACAGTAAGGGGATAATACACAGGTAAGAGGAAAAACATTTGTTCTTTTGCCTTTTAATTATTAGTCAGCACAGGGTTTGTTTAACCCATTATTCTTTTTTCAAATTTATTTCAGAGATCTGAAACCCGAAAATATTCTTTTGAGTGAAGACATGCACATCCAGATAACAGATTTTGGAACGGCAAAGCAGTTACCATCGGAGAGTAAACAAGGTATAACCACAGTTTTTAAAATTGTTTTATTATCTTAAGGTTCTTCAATTCAACTTAATACACTTTATTAGTCTTTGTGGGAGTCAATTTAACGGGCACAGTGGAGCAGGCATTGTGATTTAAAATAAAGTTTTTACAAAAATGATAAAATATGAAGAAAGCATTGATGTGATCATTTTATTGAGCTGCAGTTTTGGGAACTCATATTCAGGGATTGAAGTTAACAACCAGCAGGAGTCACTGTACATATCACATTTCTTTAGTTTCCTTTTCGCAGAGATCTATATTGGTTTGGAGTTAAAATTCTAATGTCATTCATTTACAAACTCATCTATCCATACTACACAGTTAACATGTTTTCAGAAAATGTTGCATAATTTACAATGAGCACAGCAGCAAACTCCTCTATGTTTCTTTTATTTCCTCATTCATATCCCAGATTCAGTGAAACAGCGAACACACAAGGGTTTAGGGGACGTGATTCTTTTTGTTTTTTGTAATATAGTTTTTCCATGCTACCTGTGATGTAAAATCAGAGTGATATAGATTTTGTCATCGGCCGCTGTCCCAATGAGCCTGCTGTTGACTGGGTGCCAGCAGAACATTTTCAAATGCATGAACCCATTGTTTAAAAAAGAAAGGGCACACTAGTCAAGAGCAACACTCAGTGGAATGAATCACCATTACCCACTCTGAAATGCCCTATGGTCAGAGTACAAACTGACTGAAAGCCCGACTGAGCCCCATGCATGTCTGTGGTGTCCCATTTGACTGTCATGAACATGCCCCTCCAGTGATCATAGAAGCACACTGCATTTTGATTCTTGGGGCGCAATGAATGCAAGTCATTCATTTTGATCCAGGGTCATGACTTTACAGCTTGTCGTGACAGATAAGTGCAGGCTTATGAAAATGGTTTCTAACCATTTCATGAATTTTAGAATAACAAAAAAATGTCTGTTTGGATGGCACTTTTACTGATTGTGATTTAGCTATTTTTGGCCATGTCACTGCCCTCTGTATTTATATGTTTACTTAGTGACCATATTTAGAAATGCTACCACTATTGACCTGTTGGTTGCCACTGAATGGACACTCAAGGAGTCCCTCTTTTTTCCCTTGTCTTTATTTTTTTTAATGGCAGACCCAGTCTGCCATTCATTTATATGCACAGGATATTTTAGCTGAAATTTTCTCCGTTTATCTTACAACTTGTAGCATCCATCAGGGAAGATATTAAAGAACCAAAGCATTGTTTTTCTTGACAGACTTGACAGCTTTCTTAGATGATAGAAGTAAAAGCCATTTATTTCCTGCCTTGATTAATTTCATAACTTTTATCTACTCACTCTAACAGGAAAGAACACGTGGTTATTTATAGGAAGCAACCATAAACAAGTGTTATATTAATATCAGGTCTTATTTTTAAGAACTGTGACAGAGGAGTTAGTTAAGCATTCACTGGTGGGTCAAAGAAACTACGACTGACCTCACCAACTTCACCGGGCTTTCATTCGAGTGGATGAATCCCACCCAGGGGGCAATCCCTAAGTGTTAGAGTTCTGCTTGATGGAGTGTTGCATACTTGTGGATGCTGTTAAATATTAACTGAAATAAGAACTTTAATACTCATTTTCTTGCTGTTATTGTCATTACTTATGTGAAGTATAAGTCTATTTCTTGAGCACATGGAGAATGATCTCAGTTAACTACAGTTCTATAATATATATTAATAGTTCCTGAATAAAAAAATATTTCAAAATTGATTCAGATTAACCAAAAAATGTACAAACTAAATTATATTTTAAAAAAAATTCTAATATTAGGTTGGCTGTTTCATCCAGCCTTTTCTGCTTTGGCGTGTAATGTGTGGCTCACATTTTGTTTTTGTATCTTTTTCTAGCCAGAGCAAACTCTTTTGTTGGGACAGCACAGTATGTGTCCCCGGAGTTACTAACTGAGAAATCGGCCTGCAAGAGGTAAAGTTACACACAAGTTAAACATTGGATTATTTCAATTGCTGTAATTTGAATGCATCATTTTCTTATTTTTTTTTTTTTTTTTTCTTTTTTTTTTTTACTTTCAGCTCAGACTTGTGGGCTTTGGGATGTATTATCTATCAGCTGGTGGCTGGTTTACCACCATTCAGAGCTGGGTAAGTACTATTGGGATTTTACCCTCACAGCAGAGTTCATTTTCATATCTTTTTTATATGCAAACTTCAGATGAATACTGCCCTTTAATGTGTTTTTTAATTTTTTTTCATCCTATACGTTGTAGAAATGAGTATCTAATATTCCAGAAGATCATTAAGCTGGAATATGAATTCCCAGAGAAATTCTTCCCCAAAGCCAAGGACCTTGTTGAACAGCTTTTGGTAAGTGATCAGATTTAGTGACATTTTAAGACACTGCTCAATATTTATGAGATAAGATGTATGTGGGATTTTTAGGTCAGTGTTGTGATTTTAGTAAATTAATGTCTTTTTCTTTTCTTTAAGTCGTTGGACCCATCCAAGCGGATTGGATGCGAGGAGATGGGAGGGTACGACCCTCTGAAACAGCATCCCTTCTTCGACACCATTTCCTGGAGTGATCTGCACCTACAAATACCCCCTAAGCTCAAGCCCTTCCTGCCAGCTATGTCTGAGGATGATGAGGACTGCTATGGAAATGTAAGCTTTTCAGTTTAAATTTTGTTTAATGTTTTACTTTACATGATGGGGATGAGAGAAGCAATCTTGCTGAAAGGTGCCCACAAGAAATTTAGACCCACCATCACTAAGCTTTTTCCTACATCCCCTGTCTCATTAGTACGATGACCTCCTGAGCCAGTTCAGCAACATGCAGGTGGCCCAGTCCAGCTCATCACACTCCCTATCGCCACACGACTCTACACCCCCGCAGAGATCCAGCAGCAACATTGAACAGTACATCCACGACCTGGACAGTAACTCATTTGAGCTGGACCTGCAGTTCACCGAAGAAGAAAAGCAATTATTGCTGGACAAACAAACCACTGGGAACCCCTGGTAAGTTCTGCCTGACGGCTCTTTAAATGTGTGTATTTGAATGCATGTCATCGGCATTTTCATTGGAGGGACCGATCTAAGAAAAGGTTTAAGAAAAGTGAGACAAATGTATCGAGCTTTGTTCGGTTGGTGAGTTTTGCTACTTTTCCGTATGTGCGACAACTGTTTAAATGAGAGGCTGAGAGTGTTAAAATCATCTTCTGATCACTCACACAGGCATTCATTTGTGGAGAACAACCTGATCCTGAAAATGGGCCCAGTAGATAAACGCAAGGTGTGTGAATTCTAGATCTCATATTCGACTTTTGGTGAAGCTCCCATTTCAAGAAGTTGAACTTAATCTATGAAATTGTGGTTCAAAGTGTAACTTAATTGTGCATAACTGTAAAAAAGAAAAGAAAAACAAAAGCCCTATGTGTGGAAATTTTCACTGGCCTCATTGCCCCCTCTGTTGGTGATCTAATGTCTTGGACCGCGTGCGTTCCATTTCAGGGTCTGTTTGCTCGTCGGAGACAGCTGCTTCTCACTGAAGGACCACACCTCTACTACGTGGATCCTGTCAACAGGGTCCTGAAAGGCGAGATTCCCTGGTCCTTCGAGTTACGCCCAGAAGCTAAGAACTTTAAAACCTTCTTTGTTCACACGGTAAACAACGCTTAATTTTTCTCACTACAAATATTATCTTTGGTTGCATGAAGATACTTACCAATCCCATGAACTCTATTGACACGTGTGTTTTTTCTCTTTCATTTCCTCTATTTGCAGCCCAACCGAACATATTATTTGATGGACCCCAGTGGAAATGCAGACAGATGGTGTAAGAAGATCCAGGAAGTGTGGAGAAAGATCTATCAGAGGCACCAAAACCCTGGCCTATAGGAGCACATTTCATTCTGTGCCCACTCCTTTTCTTCTTCTTCTTTTTCTTTTTTCCCTCTTTTTTTATTTTATTTTAAAAAAGCTCTGAGGCCAATCACTGAGCAGAGTAACACCCTCTTTAGTGCCCTTCATCACCGCAATGTAAACAAACTCTTAGAGACGCTGGCATCTAGACCTTGTTTGTTTTCCTTAGTAGAACCATGGGGAAACTACTACTTTGGATTCAGGGTTGCTTTGCTTGTTCTTTGTGCTCTCTGTGAGGCTTCTGTTGCATTTTCCATGTATGGATGATAAGACTTCCACCATGCACATCTGCTTTTTGTACATTCTGTAGAAGGGGGCGGGGGGGATAGGGTATAGGCAAGCTTGTCTTGTCAAGTGACACAAGCTTGGGTACTGCTAGGACTATCTCAAATGCAAGGACTGGTTTCCTGCTACTACGATAATACAAAATCTAGCTCTTGTGAACAAGAGCCTGTCAAGATATTTTAATTAAACCATATCCTAATCCTGCATCGTATGTACAAGCTGTTGTAAAAACCCAACTTTTAGCGCTATACTTCATAGATGTAACAAACCGTAAAATGATTCAGTCTCATGCTTTTAACCAACTCAAATCCTATATATATATATTTTTGTCAGAGCCTATATGTCCCCAAGGTGTTTGAGTTGTTATTTTGTTTTTCAGTCTCCTGGTACTTGCTTATTGCAGTCCAATTAAAGTATCTGTGTATCAAAGCACAGTCCTGGTCTGCAGTAAGCCATGGATCTGAACCAGTCTGTAAGTGTAAGCCTTCCATAGCTGTTACTGAGGATGTTTTTCTGCTAACGGGGTGGGTAAACATACCACTAGCTTGTACTTCTTTATCATAACGTTACTTATATTTCCTGCATGGCCAGTTTTGTAGTTCAGCCTTGTCTGCTTCTTTCTTAGGGCACTGGAGATATAGGTTAGTTTTTTTTTGTTTTAGTTTTTTTTTTGTTTAAAGCTGGGTATCTTCGACTGCATTGGCAACCATCGCAAATATTATTGGATGACTTGGTTTTTTTTGTACCATTCACTGGCTTTGTAGTGTGAATTCTTCAACTTCTTTTTTGGTGGACTAGTCGGCTCCTCTTCAGTACGTCCTATTGAAAATAAAAATCTCATGTGCTGACCACCCCATGCTGAACAGGGAACCTCCTTCAAAAGAAATACATACACATATACTATCATTCATGGAAGCAATCGCAGAAAAAGCTGTCGTCCCTGGACAAGATGGCAAACTGCCTCATGGGGCTTACAGGCCTTTTTTTTTCTTTTTTTTCCCTCTCCCCCAATTCTGATGTTTGGCCCAACAGAAATGAAAGCCTTTTTTTTTTTTTTTTAAGCAATATGTATTATCATAATGCTTTTAATTTTGACATAATACCTTAAGGCCCTTTCTAAAGGCCCTCCTCCTTCAGATGAGTCTGTGTGTGCAGTGTGTGACTGGAGTACAGGTGAACAGGACCCTGGGGCCCTGCTCTCAATGTGGTTGCATGTCAGTTAAAGCTGTCTTTCTCAGCTCTGGTCTTCAGAGCACACAGCATTGCCTGTTTTCCATGTCTTCTTCTCCAACACGTGATTTGAATAAATGGGTTGGCTCTTTTAGCAACGCAGCAGGCTGATGGGACCCTTTCATTTAAATCTGTTCTGCTGGAGCATGGCAACATGGAAAACATGCAGGTTAATGTACCCTGAGAACCAGCGCTGGAAAATGATGAGTTAAACGATATCTCTCTGATCCAAATGACCGATTAAATTGCTGTATCTGTCTATAAAGTTGAGGAAACACCACAAAAGTGTTTTCTTCCAAATAGATAAATTGTCTGAATCAAGTCGATGGCAGTCGGTTACATTGTGTATGGAATACTCTACCTGGCTTGTAACTGACTAGAACTGTGATGTACAGATGATGTATTATTAAATCTGAAGCAAGTAATGCAATGATATTAGGATACAGTTTTTGTATTTTTATTCTTGTATAAGGTTATTGATGGCTATTGTTTAGCCTATAGTTCATTCTGTGTTATTTAAATTCTAATATATGAATCATATTTGGATTGAAGTCATGTTCAGGGGCCATGTTGTGTATGTATTGAGATGTAAAGCCTTTGAATGTGAATAATTATTGTAAACTATAATATTTTACAGCTTTTTTTCTTACTATATCATACATTTTCTATTTGCTCAGTGATTTAATCATATTCTGATAATTTAATGAATCTGTTCATTCTCTCTCTGATTATTTGTGCGCTAGGTCAGTAGATGTTGAATGATGAATTTTCCACTTAATGCTTGGTAGTCCAGTAATTAAAGCATGTAGGGATTTAGGCATTCAGATGAAAGCCACGTGTCCTGTCGTCTGTTAACAATCTTGGTCACGACACAAACGGCGTCTAAGGCGGCGACATCTCTCGTTCTGCAACATGTAAATAAAGAACCAGCCCATTATCAGTGCCTGTGTGTTGTGGAATTTTATTCGTCAGAAGATCGTGGTGGGTAGGGCTACTTATTCTTTGTAATCAGTTATGCCAGTGTGTGTTCGTACTGGTGGACGGGGTTAGTAGGAGTGGCCGAGACAGCCTACTTCGCATGAGTCGTGGACTCGGACTCGGTGGCTGTGGCTTGGATATTTCCTGTCAGCCGCACGAGTAGACAGAGCCGAGGCGAGGGCGGAGGAGGCGAGGAGAGGGATGGCCGAGAACAGCTCCGAGACAAGCGGCTCCGTCCACCGGAGGTGTTTGGCCCATTCTCCCGGGGAGAGAAACATTTCAACCGGTGTCGGGGCTTCCAAGTGGATACGGTTAAACGTCGGGGGAACGTACTTCTTGACAACGAGACAAACGCTCTGTCGAGATCCAAAATCATTTCTGTACAGACTGAGCCAAGCTGACCCCGAGCTCGATTCAGACAAGGTAACCGCTAAGCTAGTAGAGCTAGATAGCGATGTATCAAAGAGCGCAGTTGTTGAACTAAAGTTTGCGTTAAATATGCCAAACTATATTGCGACGTTTAGTTTGCATTTGAATTACTAAGTTTAAACATTGAATTGTTTTTTTCAAATATTCAACAGAGAGAATAACTGCTAAATTCTCCCCGCTGACGCGAAATTTCGCTGCTAGTTAGCATTAGCTCAATAGTTAGCTAGATTCCGACAGTCACCTCATGACATGTTATTGCTGCTAGGTTTTTCCGTGTATGTGTCTCATTTTAAATGGGATGCAATTGCAAACCAAGCATGAAACTGAGCAATGGGTTATAGTTGATTTACTGTAGTCTTATCCAGAAGGGAAATGTGAATTTGTCAAATTCACATTTGGAAACTTTCCTTCTTCTGAGGCCGTTGCATCGTACTCATCGAGGTGTCAAATGTCAGTTAGGAATAAGACAACTTAAATTTTGACTTGAGCGAAAAGAGAGCAAAACGTTACGCCATCACACTTCAACCTTTACATAGACGCATCAATGTATTGTTTATTATTGTGTTATAACTGTGTTGAAATTAGTTGGATTGTCAACGTTGCCATGATTCACTGTACGGCTGAACAAATAGGCTACAGCCAGATCGACTCTTGAGGTTTCTGAGGTTCTATTACTTGGCACAAGTCTGCTTTTTGGCAGTTAGTAAATCTCCTCTAATAGATATACAGGCTGTTGGGAGGCACTGCTGACATCTCGGTACTCAGGATGAAGTCACTCATCTGAATGACTCCATAGTCCAGAGCATGATTGTCCATCTGCTCATTCAAATACTAGAGCTTGTGTGCTTTCAGGTCCTGTACCACCCAATTCAGTGCTGTCTGCCTCCGTAGTTTTATTTGTTTTTCAGCCTTCATTTTCCTGCCCTGTTTTTCATTGTTTGTATCTGCCTGCACATTCTAATCTCCTGCATACATCCTGCCCCCCTTTTATGCTGAGCTGGGGCCGCAGCTCATCTCGTATTTTCATGCAAATATCTTAATCTCTGAATAATCGGCTTGCTTTTTTGTCAGTTTATCCTTCATAAGCAACGGATCAGTCCATCTCAATCCTTTGTCTTAAGTGTACATCGCACTCTAAAGGCAGGATTAGATGGCTCCCAGGTTGTGGCTGCATATCTCACCACCTGCCTCTCTGTTTCAGACTTTTTGCGGACATGATTTCATCTTATTTGCAACCGAGCACCTTGCATTTGAATAACACTGTAGGCAGACTGGCACATCAGCGGAGACTGAAGAATTTCTTTTTCTTTTTTGCAGTTTTGTGTTACCTAGCCAAGCAAGTAAGTAGTTTGTTTCTCAGTCACGCAAGCTGACGTGCTTTAGCAGGACTCTTGAGGAGAGCTGCATTATTCATGTTGTTGACTGGAGCTTCTTTTGCACTTTGAGGTAGAACCGGGTGAAAGTGGAGGAAATGCAGTCACATGCACGGCCATAACGGTGGACAATCTGCTGTTCAGAAGTCTTGTTGTCAAATGCTCAAAGGCAATACTGACAAAAGCCAGTGTCTGCCGTCTCATGGGGTAATCATGGAGTCACCTTGGTGTGTGCGTCTGTTGCACTGACGGATTCCTGCTCTCAAACTCCTCCGCTCAGCACCACTCAAATAGAGACGCTGCTCTCTTGCTTTAAGAGCTGCATCAATTTTTCAAGCGGCCCATCACAAAGGATTCTTGTTCTTTCACCATCTTGTTCTTTTCGTACTCGCATTTATCCATTTGCTTGCTGAGGAAGTTCTCTCTGCGGCACAAGTGAGGAAAAAAACTACAGCTGCATTTAATACCATATTCAGGTTGTACGTCATGCCTGGCCACACTGGGAGGAAATGTAAATATTTAACGTTGGTATCATCTCCTACTGCACTGTCTCTCACAGCAAGTGCCCAGCAGGACACTGCAGAGAGCTATTGACAGATTAGGTGTTACTTAAATCTTATTTTATCACTTTTATTGCGCTAAAGTAATCTGTTTAAGACTGTTTAAACATCTGCAAGTGACCATTGCCCTGGGCGACAGCAGATTGGTTTAGATTATGGGCTTTTTCCACTATGTGTGGTTTATGCCACCAGACAAGTAAGACTCATAAAAGCTGTTCACTCTTCTGTCTTAAATTGCTCTGAGAAAATGACAGTACGGCAAAGATTCTCCAAGCCTTGGGAATAAGTTTTTCTAACTTAAATTCAAATTTTAGTGCCTAATCTTTTTTTAAATGCAACATAGTTTTGCATAATATCCATGATGCAGTGTGTGCATTATTTAAAAGATGAGGACCTGTTTCACGATGCCATTACTGCCTCCACTCCGGAGGGACGGCTTGCTCCTTCTCCACAAAGATCAGACTTCCACTTGGCTAAGTGGCCACAGCCATGTGACTCAGAATTTACTGCAACATCTTTTAAGCTTTGCTTCTGCACAGGGCTGTGGCTCCACTACGACGTGTGACGGCATTAAAAACACCTTCTTTCCTTTTGGTGTTGAGCTCAGCTAGACTGGCTTCTCATGACGGTGTTGGCATGACAATTTTTACTTATTGGTAACTATTTGTCATTTTTGCCATGACTCTGCAAGCATTTTTGGCCGGAAATGCCTCCGATATCTCACAAGTTAACAGATGGACCCATGCTCCATTTAAAGCACACCCTTCATGTTTGTTCGATAAAGGATTGGCTTGGAGCATTAATGCATCTGCAGAAAGACTGATTAGACATGGTGTGGTTAAAGGGTGGGCCAGCGTGGTATTTCCTGTGGGAGGATATGTATTGAGCGTTGTACGAGAATGATAAGGTTCATACATAACACTTCCTCTGCTGTGAAGGCCTTCGGATTGACTTGTTTACCACAATTTTAACTCATCATTGTCAGAGCAGCTTTTGCGTAGACCCCGTTCTGTGTGGATGTAATACTTTGAAAGCTAATTTTATGAAAGACAAAATTATTAAAAACCCAGAATGCGACTTGACGTTGACTAAACTGACATCGGCTGTCGGCAATGTTGTTGTGTATTTGTGTTTTTTGTTCGTTTATTCGGCTCAAAATTACGTTTTACATACATTTAAGGCATGTCTTGAGGTTCTCTACTCAAAGTTCTGTGTGTTTGTGTGGGTTTTTTTTATTTTATTTCCAGCGCGCTCTCCATTCTTCCCTGTCTGCAGAGCGTCCCAGCAGCATCCTCCCACTGTCTCCACCCCTAGCGTTTGTTGCCCACTGTTCTCCAGCCTGGGTCCCCAGAGAAAGCTTTTTGTTTTTCATTTACATAACACTGTCCTCTTTGTGAAGTGGACCTGTATAGATGCCCCTGATAATCTCAAATGGGCCACAGTCATCCCAATTAGGCCTCCATGGACATGTGCGATCCCAGAATTGAGTTTGGGGAGGGGGGGGGCTGTCCTATAACTAACTTCCTTCTTAAGTTAACACAGATGTACAGTATTTCTAAGTTCCTTATCAGTGGGAATAGACTAATGCAGTTTTGTTTTAAGCATCAGTTTCCCAAGAAAAACAGTGGTTTTTACATGAGATTAAAGCAAAAGTCTTTGTCGGTGCGCGCATGTTGACTTGTCAGATTAAATTCTACCCAACTGAAGGAAACGCCGGCTCACTGTGACAAGCCAGCATGCCTGAAGTTGATTTAAAAGAAAAAAAAAAGTCTACATAAAAGTTTGAAGCACGCGTAGCTGTTGAGCTTTTGTAGACTTGGGTTTTCAATGTGCATTTTGGAGGTAAGGAGGAAAAAATACAATTTTTGATTGTTAATGGTACATGGCAGGATAACCTGCTTTTCAAGCATCGCAACAGAACGTCTGCTCTTTAGTTCCCCCTTCAGCTGTCAGTTGTACCGCTGCCGTCGTCCATGACAACCCTATGCGTTCATTTGTCGCCTTTCTTTAGGGGTTGATAAACACCTGCAGGAGCCACCGTATATCTCAAGAGAGCCCGTAGGAGGATGTTACAAGACCGAAGTCAACTGTGCATTGTGCGTGTTTAATATGTCATGGAGCGGGCTAGCTTTCTAAAACATTCAAACATTTTGGTTTATTTTGCACTGTAACATCGGCTGAAGATCTGAATGTGGCATGTGTGTGAATGATGGCGAACACATTTAGCGAAGCTTCATCTATGAGACGGACATGGTGACGATAAGGCTATGACTTTTCAGCCACTGACGAGTAACGTAAAATAAATTAATTAGTCGCGATTGCAATGCATGTGTTTCCCCATTAATCATTATAAAGAGCAACAAAGTAAATTTCTGGAGAATCTAAGCATGCTTAATTAGTGTTATTGCAGGAATCAGCCAGATTTTCAGATTTCTATCTGGATTTCTATCTCCAGGTTTACTGCCTACGCAGGGGAGATGGAGACGTTATCATATTCCTTTCATTGGATAGCAACAATGAACAGTGGAGCTCTTCTATTTTTCTTTGCTGTATTGACTCTTCCTGGGAAAGCTCCTTGCCACGAGATGGGTAGAGCTGGGAATTTGTCATTTGAGAAGAATTAAGTTAATTTAGTTTTTTTTTTTTTTCTTTTGTATGTTTTCCTGAGGCTGTTTACTGGAAAGTTTGGAGTAACTGAGGGATGAGATCTGTTTGGCTGGTTAGACCTTGTGTGTGTCCTCGGCACAGATTCACCTGTACACCTGCTTAAACGCCATTGACTATGTAAGTGTAAGAAAACTGACACAAGGCATTGCAACCAGAATTTGAGGCCCTCTGGGCTCCGGTGGAATATTTTTGTTTCAGAAAAGGGGTCAGTCAGCCAAGAGGGCTTAAAGATTCATTACAAAAGAAAATGCACAGGGGTATTTTCTCATTATTGGAAGGATTAATGGGCTTTTAGCTGAATTCATCTGTGAACAATTAAGGCAACCGTGAAAGCACACGTGCCCATCTGCTAACGTTTAGCTTTTTAGACAGGAGATAGAATATTTCAATGTATTACCATTGTGGTGTAAATTGTTTCATGTTGGATGCTGGTCAGCTGTCCAAACTGAAGCAGACTAAAAACTAATTGTGGGTTGAAAGCCAAGGTGCTTTCTTGTGCTTTCCTCAGTGGAGTCGGCCTGCTGTTCCAGATCTTTTTCTGTTCTGCTCTTAATTGTTTTAGCCGGCTCCTACCCCACGAGAGGCAGACAGTCTAATCACAGCACAGAAGTAGGGGAATACCCAGTGGTTGTGAAGAAATCGTAATGAAAGCCAAAGCCAGTGGGAGCACTGAGCTGATATCCCAAAGCGGTGGTGTGTGGCTCTGTGTACGCGTGTCAGGTACCTTGAAGATGGGTCAGGAGCCGAAATCAAAACTCTTCTTTTTTTTTTTTCTTTTTTTTTTTCTTGCTTGAGTTGGGATCATTAATAGGCATTAGGATCTGTGTTCTGCTAAGGTTAGGCTTTGATTAAAGCAGACGCCTGCTAGTCCATGGATTTGAATACAAAGGACAATACAAACATTTTCTAATATCAGGTGATGTGTCTAGAAAATAGAGCTTTTCACCCAGTGTTCTGGATCCAAAATCGTTGTTTTTTTTTTTACACATTTTGCTGTGTGAAAACTAACGCTGAATACAATGTTTTTTCTGTTTGTTTTTTATTCATAGGATGAAACCGGTGCCTATCTCATAGACAGAGACCCCACATACTTCGGGCCAGTGCTTAACTACTTGAGGCATGGCAAATTGGTGCTCAACAGGGATTTGGCTGAAGAAGGTAAGATGTCACCCCTTTTTTTTTCTTTTAAATTCACATTGTAAAGAAAATAAATGATTTGATGTAAATTATGGTGATTTCCAGACCTCAATGATGACAAGAAAATAAAGGAAATCCAAAAGGAAGTTTGCCATAATTCTGTGTTGATGGGCTGTTTCTAGGTGTGCTAGAAGAAGCCGAATTCTACAACATCACATCGTTGATAAAACTCATCAAGGACAAGATCAGGGAACGCGACTGCAAAACATCACAGGTAGAGGACTCCCCAAGTTTAGATGTGTCCCCGTGTCTTAACCCGTGACGGCGTGACGCGGCACGAGAGCGCAAACGGAAAGTTTGCTTGCTGCGTTGCCGTATCCTGTTTGCTGATGAGTTCACGGCTTTATTTCAGGTTCCAGTGAAGCATGTGTATCGGGTGCTGCAGTGCCAGGAGGAGGAGCTGACGCAGATGGTGTCCACGATGTCTGACGGCTGGAAGTTTGAGCAGGTAAATCTCTCCCCGCCGGGCCACAGCAGCCGCCCTCCTGTCATGTGCTTCACCCACCCTGCTATGCTCACAGTGACCCAGAAAAGTCTAATCCTCAGTAATGGATTAACAAGCCAAACAGCAAGTCGCATCTCTCTCAATGTCCGCATACATGATCCGAGCATGCCTTCTGTGCTCTGATTGGTCGTTGCAGCTTGTCAGTATAGGTTACGGGCGGGCCCACCAGTCAGAGTTTCTGCTGATTGTGTCAAGGGAGGTGAAGGGAGAGGAGTCTGCTTTGCCAAACAACAGCGGAGAGGTGTGTCCCACAGATTTCTGTCCACGGGCTGGTCACTGCATGGTCCCCATGTTGTCCACACACCCCCCCGTTGGCCCTTGTTTGTCCCAAGTAGACACACTGCTGTTGGTTGTTGTTGTTTTGTTGTTTTTAGCTGAATTGTTTCAGTCCTCATGTCTACTGCTTGCTCACTAGTGAAGCAAAGAGAACCCAACACCTTTTTTTTTTCTTTTTTTTTGTCTGTGATTTTTATTTTTTGATTATTTTTGTTTGATTAATTGTGCATTTGCGCTTTAAAGGGGGCAGCAGTTGCAAAGTCCTCACCTGGGGTTGTAATACAGCCCAGTCTATTTTAAAGCTGATGTGTTAACTTTCTGATGTGTAGTTTGACATATTTAGGCCTTTAAAGCCATTCATTTGTTTAACTAAAAACATACTGAGTAGTCTTTAGGAATATTTTCCAGTGAAACGCCACATGTCTGGGTGTTGGAGTGTATATGTGAATGAATGTAACATGGAATCACTGCTGCTCCCATCCAAGTTCAAATCCCACTAATCTCCTTATGCAAGTCAGCTGGGGAAACTGAGAATCACTCCTGATGCAGAGCTGAAAGCTCAAGCCTCTCCAGGGGAGAGTCCTCTGGAGAGAGCAGCTTTAATAACCTGTTTCTGTTTAATCATTCTGATGGACAGCGACTTGTTAAACTATATTTTCTAATAAGTTTTTCGACTTGCAACAAGTTGCATAGCTTGCATTGTGACAGGTTTTAACTCCTCAAGCTTATTTGGTCCTTCTTACTGGGTTTTCTGTCCAATGTTGGAGCCGGCTTAACAGCACTTCTCTAGCAGCAGTGCCTAATGAGGCAATGCGTGTCTGAACATGTACACCTGAGCACAGACAGTACACAAAGTTGGCTTGGCATAACACACACACACACACACTTGATATTAAACTGGCAAAGGAAATATTTTAGGGAAAGATGGAGGCCTCAGTGTATTATTTAGTCTCTTTTTACCATTTAGTGAAGTGCTAAAGTACATCAGAGACTACCATCATGTGTTTTGGGATTAATATGAAGATAAATTGGAAGGATTGTTCCCATAATTCCTTATGCTGTTAGACATTCTGGCTACTCTAACGCCAAGAAGCAAAGCCTAACCTGCACGTTTTAATGGCTTTCAGTAATGCTGCTGAATGCATGCCATGCTAATAGCTCTGTAGATGTAGTCGGCATTATGCTAATACTATGTGATATTTTGAGTAGCTTAAAAAATTGCAAAGGGTTAGCTTAAAGTGAGTTTTTAGCATGGGATGCCTTTACATTTCCTGTTGAGTTACTATAGTTTTAATACCATCAGTTGCTCCTTTCATGTGGAATCAGGTCAGATTGAGTGAAAATCACAATTTTTCATAAAGGTCCTGCATGTTTGCCTTGGTCCCCTCTCTGCATTTTAATATCATTTCCTTGATTGTCTGCTCCTTCTCGTTTTCTGTTAAGTGTCCTCCACGCTTTTCCCCTCTGATTTTCATCCCCATATTTTGTGAAGCAGTGCTCATTTTATTCCTGGGTGACTGATGATCTCTGACTGCCTTTTTGCTTTACATATGGATTATTTTCAGGTCCCCAAAGCATGTAACAATAAACTATCATTTAAATGGCTTTAACCCCACACTTTTTAGTGCATCTGTAACTACTTCCAACTGTTCTGAGCCTCTGAAAAAAGGTTCTAGGTGTGTCTTCATTCCCGCTTAAGTCAGCTGCCCTCAATGGCCTTGCTGTATCATAATTACACAACCGTGCCGTTTCAGGATAAGTCCGTGGATTTGCATCACCCGGGCCTCATATTAGTATCCATGGTTATCTATAAAGGCAATAAATGTCAGGCACCTAGTCCCTAGAGCAAATGCTAGGATGACAGAGCTCATATTTGGGTGGCTCTGATTGGAACTTGCTCAAAAGTTGTGTTACAGATCTCTTCCTGCACTAACCTTGTGCTTCTGATTTGGTTCTTAATTTTTAAACGTAAGGCTCCAATAGTTTAGTCCATAGTTGCCTATATTTATCAGTCTATGGCTAACTTTTCCTCTGCTCTGTTCCCCTTTCTTTCCCTAGCTGGTCAGCATTGGCTCCTCTTACAACTATGGAAATGAAGACCAAGCTGAGTTCCTGTGTGTGGTCTCCAAGGAGCTGCACAATCAATCCTACGGGACCAACAGTGAGCCCAGTGAGAAGGCAAAGGTAAGTGTGTGGAAAGGCTTGCTGAAAATCCATCAGTAAAAAAATCCAGGTGAAAGCTGGTCTGTGGTGAAATTCTAAAAGTCTCTTTCACCTCAAATTTATTAATGAGAGAGTGCCACACGGTGAAGGTCCAGGCTTTCTTTTAAAAAAGGAAAAAAAACACCGTCTGAATAAACCAATTCCTGTAATCGGCAAAAGAAAATGGATCTGTCGAAGAACATTTCTGACACTGTACAGCTGCTGTGCCATCACGTGTCGGGGCAGACGTTATTTATTTGAGTCTCTGTTAGGCATTGTGTTGAATTTGACCCAGAGTCCAAACTGCGTAATCCTCACAAGGAGCTTTAAGGCAGCACAGGTGATTTCATCAGTGGTCAGTCTGAAGAATTCACACCGCAGACAGCTGCTCATGAATCCATTGTTTGTTTGTTTTTATTTTTATTTTTTCTTATTTATTGAAGTGATGAAAAGCAACCGATTACACCTTCTTTTTTTGTTCTTTTTTTGTCCAAGGACACTGAATCCTAACTTGGTTCTTGATTAGGACAGATTTGATCCTGCTTATATTATCAATGTTTTGAAATCTAAAATTCTTAACTGTAGACGCTGTAACAAAACATTTTTAATTGTTCATACATGCCCCTGTGTACAAAATGAATAAAACCTGAATCTGATAGAGGATGTGTCCTTAGATAACGGTTTTTGTGGTTTGCACCCTTTGAGTTTTTGCATTGCTGTCATTCTTCTTCCCCTCCATGCAGCCTCTTAACTTTGTTTCTCATCTCATTTTCCTGTCCATCATCTGACATCTTCATTCATTTCCACTGTTTTACAACACGCCTTTTTTGTCTTATGTGCTCTCTGCATGCTGCATGTTGCTCAGAGCGAGGACGAAGAGACGGATTATGAAATGAATGAGTCTGATTAGGTTGAGCTGGTGAGCGCTCAACTGCTCGTAGCTTCTCCACAAGACCCTCTCAGTTAGTCCCCCCTCCACCTCCCCTCATGCAGTCAGCCTCCATGAAAACCATTCCCATTTGTTTTCAAAGAACGCAGGAGTCGACATGAGACACTTAGACCAATACAAAGTCTCAGAATCCAGGCTGAAAATCAGCTTTGGACAATAGTCTGGAAGCCAAAGTTCCAACAGAGGCCAGATGACTCATGCTGAGACTGGACACTTCGCTGCAGGTGAAGCTCTCTTTGAAAGCAGATGGGAAGTGCTCCATTACTTTCAGAACCTCGTAATTATTGACATGCTGGCAGACTTGGTTAATGGAAGGCATGCTGAATCATAAGCGGCTGCATTGTGATTCATTCTCTGTGAGACGCTTACAGGGAAAGGCGCTGTAGGAGGCAACCTCTGCTTTTCCTTATCAAAGCTAGTGATAGGCTGTAGGGTTTCATGGCCAACTGATATTTCTTAAGGTGGAGGCGACTCCTAAGTTCTGCTTTTGGTGATATCATGTAAACTGGGCTGTGTTCGGAGTCATATCAGCAGCATATCTTTGCATCTCCAAGGCTGAACCCTGCATGACAAGGTTTCACCATTTCAAACAATAGAACTTTTAACAGAACTCCAGACAAAACAGCATTTGACCGCTCTGGTTCGTTCAGGCCTCCCGGACACCTGCTCAGTTTGTCTGAAATCACACAACCGCTTTAATGTCTGAGTGCTGAGAGCAGAGAGAGGGAAGCAGCACTCACCGCGGCTGCACAGCAGACTCCTGTAAGATGGTATAAAATGCCTGTCAGCCATGTCGTAATGCTTTTCTCTTTTCTTTTTTTTTCTTCCCCGGGCTTTGCAGATTCTTCAGGAGCGTGGTTCCCGGATGTGAGAAGGACTCAGTATTATGAGCTCCAGGTGTTATGATGCAAACATATCATCTTCGTGGAAGAATGCTCAGCACAATGGAGATTTAAAGGAGAGGAGGGTGCATTTTTCTTTAGTTTTTCCCTCTTTTTGTTTTTTTAATTCTTAATGTAAATAAGCCTGTTTACTGACAATTTGTGCCTGTACATTTAAACTGGACCTTTTCAATAAGGGGCAAGAAGTGTTGTTTTTCTCTTTCTTTATCTCTCTGCTGGCTATTTGAAAGGTAGTAATTGTAATCTACTAATCTTTTATGCTATAAAATGTGGCCAACATCATGTAAGGCCAATGATTCACTCAGGGTCATCTAATGAGTTAATTCGTATATTTCAACTCAAGGGATCAGTATGGTCTTCATAACTTAAAGTATCAAACCCAAATTCATTCATTTGAGATGTTAAGAAGGGAATTGTACATTTTCATGTTCAAGAGTCAGGCTAAGAGATTTGAAATCCACCCAACAACCCAGTAATAAAATGTTTATCCAACAGTTTATGGCAGATTTGTGACCACAAAGATCCCATCTTCATAACAAGTTGTTAGTGAGGAATCATTCTTATTTTAACTTCTTTTTTTAATGATATTTGAAAAGAACCATCCATCTTGGAGGAAAAATAAGTTACTGACTGTGTAGTTAAAGGGGCATTAGATATTGAAACTGTTTTATAAATCATTGGAAAACACCCTGCTATTAACAAAAACAACTTATTCTAACAAGAAATATTCTTATTGTAGCCTACCGTACCAACCAATCTTAGATTCTTTAAAACTCGGTTACATATAGATGCTACACTCGGTGGGAAAATTAAACCGTAGTTGTGCCTACTTGAGATGGTTTTCGTATGTGATAGTACAGAAAAACAAAAAGGAGAACTTTGATGGATTTGTGTTGGAGAGCTCCTCGTGGATCTTTGGATAACTGCCAAAAAAATCAACCAATGTCATTTCCGAGTCTGTTAAACAGCTTCGTACTTTAGTTTGCATCCCTTTTCCTCCTTTCTGTAGTGACATCTGAGTTAAATACATTTATTTTTGATCTTTGAGGGAACGTACTTAAAAAACAAAACAAATTTAAACGGGAAGTTAAGTAGTGTTTGTGGACTGGAACTGTTGGATGTTGGTGGTGAAGGACTTTGTTCATATCATGAGGATTTTGTTTTCATGTAAATAATCCAAATTCAACATTGATATTTAACTCTTAAGACAAACTGCACGTTTTGTACACTGTATAGAGAACACAACTTCAATTGGAAGTTGTTTATACTGGATCTTTAAAAATGAGCAAATCTTGACAATGTTGACTTCTGTTTTGCATTGTTTGTACAGGACTTGAGAGATTTTGACTTTGGGTTGCAACAGCAGATGCAGAATTTGGTGTCTTTCTCCTAGAACATGCCTGGAACATGTTTTGATAACCAGTAACAAAGCTATACTTTGCTGGCTATGAAGTTGACTGTTACATTTTGTAAACTTTTGTTTAGTTTTTTTGCTTTTTCCTCAGAAAGATGGAGTCCTCTTTGCATTTTGAATTGTTGAGTTCATATACAGCATAAGAAGCACTACAGTGGACAACACTGTGCACACTCCTTACAGGCTGAAATGTTGTAAATACTGCATTTTGAAATTTTTTTTTTAATAGTTGTTTTCAGGTTTGATGTGTGATTTTTGATAGGTTGGATATTTCATTCACAATTAATCATTTAGTGTTGCCTTTTTCCCCAGTGACCAAAATCCAATGTCTTATGTGTATTGTACACATTGATCTTCGTGTCAGGGACAAGTAAACGTTTCTTAATGCTGGCACACTTTGTACATAAACTTAACTACACACAAAGCTCCATTTACTCACACGCACACATACACACTTAAAACATTTTTGTTGTTGTTGAGGGAACAGGTATGGATGCATGTTTTTTTTATTTTTAAATAATTGTAAACAAACACACGAACACACACAAGGGCTTTTAAAGTGCAAAATTCAAGATCTGCAAAGAAGTTCAATCAAAGTAGACTGGATTTCCTGCCAGAGCTAGGCTATGTTTACATTTGCTATAGTATTCTGAAGCCTTCCAATTATGCACTGTCTTGCACTCCCTCACACATGTTAACCTTAGTCTGACTTGTGTGACTGCACCAATGGCAACTAGCACTCTCTAGATAATCACTGACATGCTGACTTGTGTTGAGATACCCCATCCATCTCTAACTGCCAATGCTTGAGCGTTGCAGACAATCTTGTTTTTTCACCCCTCGTCTGATAGCGGATATACTCATATTTACACTTTACTGACTTGGAGCTAAGGTTTATTTGTCTTCTTTTGAGAAATATCTTGTGTTTGTGTTAGGTTTGCTTGGTTCAGTGCTAACCTTCTGATAGTTCCTGCTGGGGTATTAAACCGTTTTAGCAGCTCCATTACATTTAATGCTCTTCTCAAACAGGTCGACTGGTCAAGTGTCAGACGTTATCATTCATCTGATGGACAAACTTGCTGACTGTAGCCTAATATTTTATAAGTGCCCAGTCTGTTTTGCGTTAGTCACTAACCACAGATCACTGTAATGCATGATTTGATTAACACGACTTGTAATCAGAGGGAATGAATGTGTCATTTTTCCTCATACAAACAGTTACAGTAATGAATATGGTTTCCATATCACTACATAGATCACTTCTATATGATCTTATGCAATGTTTAAAATGTACAAATTAAGTACAAGTTTTAAGGGATAGATCTATACGATCTTGCATAAGTAAACCCAATAAAAACGTTGTCATTCATCATTTGTCTTTGCATTTTTTCCGACATATTTTATTGTAAGACTTTAAGTTGGTAGCTTACCTCTTATAAGCGATTACTGTGGATGTTGGGGTCCCTTATTAAAAAAAACTCAGCCGTGACTACGTTCAAGATTTTAAATTAAGAGCGACCTCTTGTGTCATTTCGAAGAACGTTCTTAAAGCGCTTTTAGTCGTCCTGAAAGTGCCTGTTTTAATATCGGTGAGATTTTTATTTATTCAATTAGTTTTAATTAATATGTGTGTGTTCTTATTGCAAGCACCAACTCGCGTTTACAAATACTGCCCCTCCCTATTAATATGTTTGGTAACGGTACACAAAACGCCAAATGAAGTAGCGGTACACAGCGGTCGTTTTGGGTCTGCCGTCTAAACAAAGATGAAATACAGGATGAGATGGTGATCCCCCTCTGTGCGTCCTTCCGGAGCCTTAAATAACCCAACCAGCACCTGCGTTATATGGCTGTCAAGGTTCAAATCAACATCGTGACAATTTCTAAACTCGTGTAGGTTTTAAGCATGAAGCTTGCGTTCGTTTTCCAGGTGAAGAATTTGTCACCAACATCAATTACAAATCTCAAAAGCTCCAAACACTCAAAATAATGTTCCGAAAGACTAAAACAATTCTTCCTGATATTTGAACATGCCTACTGTGAAGGCAAACCCCTTGTGGATAAACGGGGTGCGCGGTCGTCCTGGGATGGGATACGGGGGTGAAGGTGGGGGTGAGGGTGGAGTACAAAGCCGGAAGTACAGGACGGATGACTGTTTCGCTTCGCTGTTTCAGGCTCGAGTAGGAGCGGGTGGTTTTTCAGGAGGGAAACTTTACAAGGTTTAACAGGACTCGAACACGATTAATTCATTTCGCTTAATTACCAGACCAAGTGCGGCCGTACTGAGAGGTAGGAGCCCAGCCTCACCGCCGAGACCGTAGTCCTGCCGTCGACCATGATGTTTTAACCGCTTCACTTTGCGCCATTTTCGCTAGTTCGTCAACGCATAAATGTGCGCCTCTCCGCTTTGGCGTTCTTTGTCCTTCTGTTTTAATGTACTGTGACATGTCTTAATCGTGGTCATTATTTACACATTCTTGCACGCCGTGCATAAGTTCGAAGAACAATTTAGCATCGGACGGGCCACAGTGATTACTGTTGCCTCGTCCTAAATTGTGCCCAAATCGAGTGCAGTTGCGCATTTTTGTGCTGCATCAGGCCGTGTCGGACGCTAACAGCGTCAGCGTCTGTTGAGATGTAGCACAATTCTGGCGCACATGAGTTAGCTTGTGGAGCTAACGGGCTAGCTTGCTAATGAAATAGCATTTGTAGTCGGTTTGAGAGCGTTCGCGTGGACGTCAACTTTTCACCTGCGCTCGGTGAGCACAAAACGAACGAAGTGCGAATCAAGGCGCATCTTATTTCCGTGCTAGTTTGAGTACTGAAGTGCGTAAACATGAAAACGGGTTTGTTTGATGCCGGCCAAGCTTGCTAGCTCGTTTAGCTGTCTAGGTAAAGCGAATAAAACGCTGGTTTTGAACGTGATAGCTCTAAACTTGCAAAACACAGTAGGCGTCGTGTGTCACTTGGCCGTTTTGGGGTGAGGTTTGTGGTGTCTGCGGTCCTCCGGAGTCTTCAACAACAGTTTGTGGCTTCCTCTCGTTGCGGTAACCTGTAAAGCATAGTTGCGATAATAATTGGATTTTTTTTTTTTAAATGCCTTTATTTTGCACATAAGTTAATGAGTGGGAAATCTCTCCTTTTCTTAAACGGAAGTCAAATTACAAGTCAAACAATTGCATCATAGGTCTGTGATAATCAACTTTAATGTCATCCAGGTGATCCTGGTCAGTTTCCCACAAGTACTCGGCCATCCTTTTTAGATAACTCACAGTACAGCAAACTGTGTGTAAACAGCAGCTCCAGATCAGTTTTTTTACCTTTTAAAATGGCATTATTGTATTATTTTTATATTCCATCACAGAAGGTTTTCTCTTTTCCCGTGTCTAAAAAGCTCTGTCAACTCAACAGTTTTAGAAGAGAAGCCAAAGCAGCCAAGGATGCATCTGTTTGTGGTCATCCCAGTTGTTGCGTAATTGGACTGGTTTGGACTGCCTCCCACAGGCACGTCTCCTAGCCCCGGGCGGCTGGTCACTCTGACCGGGTCAGCGGGCCAAACCTGTGGGATGTCTGTTCCCATGCTATGTTTCCTAGAAAGTTTATTAACATGTGTGTGTGTGTGTGTGTGTCTGTTGACTTTGTTTATCGTTACAGGAGTCCACACATCATGTCAGGCATTGCATTGAGCCGACTCGCTCAGGAGCGCAAGGCATGGCGGAAGGACCATCCTTTTGTAAGTAGCGTCTCAGGATGTTCACTAGCTGCATTTAATGGTGGTTTTTAACAACTTCCACTGTAAACAACAGTCTTTTTTTTCCACTTGTTTCTTCCTTCCCAGGGATTTGTAGCTGTACCGACAAAAAACCCAGACGGCACCATGTATCTCATGAATTGGGAATGTGCTATTCCCGGCAAGAAAGGGGTAAAGTGTTCCAGCATCATGTTTTTGTAGAAATGGTTTAATTTGTTGATTTCCCACACAAAAGCCTTAAGTTGTTTTAAACTAAAGTGGCAACCACCTGTTTCCTTTTTAATATTTTTCTTAGTTTTCTTTCTTCTGTGAAGGAGACATGCCTTTTTTTAGTGAGGCCTTTTAATTTATGGTATCTTCTCTCTAGACCCCGTGGGAAGGAGGGCTGTTCAAACTGCGTATGTTGTTCAAGGACGACTATCCCTCCTCACCTCCAAAGTGTGAGTCACTGTGTCCGATCTGCCTTTTCAACACGAACCCAAATGATTAAATCCTGTCAAGTGTTGTTTGGTGTGGTAGCTTCTTTAGTAGTAAATTATTTTTATAAGAAAAAAATAAATACAGGTTGTTGTTTTTTGGATTTGATTTTTTTTTTTAAGTGAAACTATTTCTTTCCCCATTTTGCACGAGCAGTCATTCTTGTCCCAACGACCATTTACATGTCTCAATATCATTCATTTAGAGGGATGGAACTAATGTAAGAGTTTGATTTTGTTTGTAAAAGCCAACTAATTGCGGTCCAGCTGGAAATTTGTCAAAGTGATTCTCATCTAAAATGGTAGTCAGTGTGGGGAAGAAGAGCAGTATTCAGCCACAGGCTGAATGTTTGGATAGGTTTGGCATTTCGGTTACAGATTGCTTAACCCTCCTTTTTCCATCTCTGAACAGGGTTAAACAGGCTTTTTATTTTTGTTTTATATTAGATTGAAAGCATTAAGACTAGTTAATACTACCGTGGCTGCAACTGAATAAGTTCATGTTAGCGTTGGAATCCTCTTTTTCTCCCCCTGTTGCCTTTTTCTGGAATATGATGGATAACCGGTAGACTTGTCATTTGTGGCTGCCGTTATGTGTATTCAAAGGATCTGTGGTTTTACAGGTTATAATTGACAGCACGGTGTCTTTACACCCTATGATGTAAACCAGTCTGTTGGGAATTACTGCTGGTAGTTTTCTGTTGACACTGATGAACTTTATTATAGATCTAAAAGTTTTTTTTCCCCCTTTTGTTTAGGTAAATTTGAGCCTCCGCTCTTCCATCCAAATGTGTATCCATCAGGCACAGTATGCCTATCTATTCTAGAGGAAGACAAGGACTGGAGACCGGCCATCACAATAAAGCAGGTTTGGATTGCCAGCCAAAAAGCATGTTCCTGGATAAATAAATCTGTGTGCTTTCCACACTTTTTCTGCAGTATATCTGTAGAGGTGCAGATGCATTTTTATTTTTCCTATTGTGTCTGAAGTGTGTGTATTGCTTTTATCTAAAGGGGTCACTATTGATCCAGAAACCTGAAAAGTCATGTCACCTGGCTACAGTAATATCAATATTTGTTAATGTGTTTTTCTTTTCTTCCTATCTGTAGATCTTATTAGGTATCCAGGAACTTCTAAATGAGCCAAATATCCAGGATCCAGCCCAAGCAGAGGCGTACACAATCTACTGGTGGGTAACGTTTAACGCCTTCCTCACCCTGTTGGACAAATGTGACCAGTTAATGTTCAGTGGAACAGGCTTCTTTCAAATCTTTAAACAGAAATTTTGAAGAAACAGAAGCCACAAAGTTACGTATCTTTCTGTCAGACAGATTTTTACTAAGAATGCCCCAAAGTTGTGTTTATTTATTTTTAATCTTAAAATTTCTTCTGCTTTGGTATTAATCAAATAGACTTCTTTGCCCTGACTGATCCCCACAGTGAAACAGTGAAAACCAAACGGTAGTACGTAGAGATTGCTTGACTGTATTGGGATGATAGCAGTTTTCTGTGGGCCCCTAAAATTGCCAAAGACTCTTTTTTTCCTGACTTTGTCTCAGACAACACTCCCAAAAACTAACTTTTTTTATCTTTCTTTTTTGTTGTCTTTTATCTCTTTCAGCCAAAACAGAGTAGAATATGAAAAAAGAGTTCGAGCACAAGCCAAAAAATTCTCCCCCTTGTAATGGGCGAAGACTCGGCAGAAGGAATGGGTTTAACAAGAAGCACCTCCCCGCTCGGTCTCTCAATGAATGTGCTCCTCTTACATCGGGACTTGCTTAAAGACTTCTATTTAAACTCCACACATTCTATGCCATCCGTTCTCCTCATCTATCCATTTTTTGTTAATTGCCGGTTGGCACATAATGCCAGGAGAGGAAGGGTGCTTCAGCACCCTGCTCATTTCTTTTTAAACATAGTTGTCTTATGTGGTTCAAGGGACACAGCTTCAGTTTCATCAACTCCATGCAAGCGGGCTGTCATCCATGTTCATGGAAGGAAATATCCTTGTTTTTATTTTTGTTTCACAGGGTCTCTTCCTTTTTTTTTTTTTTTTTTTTTTTGCTTCCCTCTTTATTTTCCATAAATTTAATGTAAAATTAGCTTATTTCATTGTCAGTATTTGAACTGCTGTATAATGAATGGCACTTTTATACTGTTGTATTTCACTAGTGTCTCCTAGATGGTTCTGTCTCCTTTCTTTTTCTTTTTTTCCCCCCCAGGTTTTCTATTCAGCATGCTGTAATATAAGATAGAATCTGCTGCCTTGGCTGTCTTTTTGTTATTCAAAGTGTTTGCTATGGAATAAATAAAAATGGCCACAGTGACTGAGGCAGGTAGGCTTACTTCTGTATCAGACTTTAAAGTTATATGGTGCTTTGTTCATGTATGTGTCAGCTTAATAAAACTTTCTACAAAATGTTTCACTTTTATTGAATGCATACGACATACATTTCATCTTTGATTCAGATATACACTCAAAAAAATGTGTACATTCAGAGAAATATCTCCAGCAAATTCTAACATTTCACTCATTTGATTTTTATTAAGCAGTTTTTTACATTACATGCATGTTCAGCATAAGCATCACTGACTACTAGAGTGTGTACAATTTTCTATGAATACTTGCATGTGTGTGAAAAATGGGCTTTAAAAAAAAAAAAAAAGGTTTAATGTGTCTTTTCCTCTCACTTTTGAATCCAGTCTTAGGTTCACGCCTCCGCTTCTCCGTCGATAATCCCTATCTGACAGCGCTCGCTTTCCAGGCTCTGGAGGTGTGCGGCGCCAGAGCCGGCCTGCTGAAAGCAGCTCAGGGTGCAGTACTCGTTGCAGTACCAGCGCGGCTCCTCCAGGGACGAGCTGCTGCCGCCGAGCCAACAGCCTGAGTCTGGGGCCAGGCTGCCTGTCGGGGAGCACAAAGGGAAAGTTTCCACGGAGCTGCCCGGAGCCGCGGGCAGCCCCACGCTGCCGTCCGTGTGCCGGGGGTCCTGGACGTGGGCGCCACACAGGGGGCCCGGTACGTTTCTATACGCCCGGCCTTCCATCGGCAGCTGCAGAGAGACGGGTGAGCGCGCGTCCTCCGGGACGTCTACACACTCCATCAGGGTGTTGATTCTGAGCGTTTCCTCTACTTTCAATATGCCTGCTGCGCTTTCTTGCGTAACGACCCAGCTCTGTAAGCGCACAGCAGCGGTCAGAGGCAATCTGACCCACTCACTGGTGTTTTACACAAAAAGCCCCGAACCTACCTTAAAATCTCCTTGGCAGTCTGTGTAAAGCGTGTGGAAGTAGGGAGCTGGAGTAGGGATGAAGGTGATCTGCCTCCACCTGTGTACGGTCAGAACAACTAAATTAGACTTCTTTTTTTACCGGCATCATGGGTCTATTTTAAATGATGATTTAGAGCACGATGAGCTAAAAGAGGGCCTTACTTTTTTACAGAAACGTAGCAGAAAAGTGAGACGAGGATGGCCACCACACACAGGACGGCAAACACCACACACACTTCAAAAGCGAGCAAGTTTGTTGGGGCACCTGTGCAAGGATGGACAGAGCTGGACACGTTTAGAAGCTGGACCGTGGCTCTGAAAGGGGCATTTCAAAGTGTGGGTTACACGCATTAGGTACAAATGATGAGATGAACCACAAAATCTAGATTTGAGAATCACCCTTCACAGCTGCCTCTGTCCTCCAGGAGGCCTCGGGGGACCAGTCGCTCCACTGCCCCATGTAGTGAGCCATGTTTGGACTGGACCGCACTCGCGCTGCGTACTCAGTGTCCGGTTCAAACCTCTCATCGCCCACTGAGTACTTTTTACTGTCCGTTTTAATGTCGTACACCACTACCTGTAGGAAAACAGAACATCTGGGTTCAGCCTCACCAGTAAGCCGAAAGTAAAGAGTCTTATAGAAATTTAAACTTTTAAAAGAGACTTTAAAAAGCTTTTTCTTTCTTTCACTGTCAGAAGTATCAGCACTGACCTCTATGGTGCACACAGTAGAGACTAAATGTTTTTGTCTTCTTTGCTAAATTGAAATTGGTATGAAATCAAATTCTGGGGCCTGGTGAGCGATACAGTATAGCCGACACCAAAAAATCCTCTCCAGGCCCAGGTGGCCTGCGGCCTCTTTCCTGAAAACACTGTAAAAATCTATTTAAAAATACAAGTGATGTTTAATTTTGTGTTGTCGGTCATTTAATCGAAAGCATCTTTCCCAGCTCAGGCTTACAGGGTCATATTCAGCAGGTCGTATACATCAGAAGAACGTTGTGGTTATAGCTGAAATGTGAACTTTTCCTGCTATTTCAAGCTAAGCTATATATTTGATAAACCTGTAGAGGAAATAAAGTCGCTCCAGAGACTTTTATGCCCGTTTAATGGATCTGACCTTATGTTTGTCTGCTGTTTTGTAGAATTGCAGCTGATACTGCAGGTTTTCCATCAGTTTGTTGAAGTTGCTGTATTCCTCATAGGTGCTTCTCCAAAAGAACAGATGTTGACTGGAGCTGTGGTTAACAGTGAGGCCGCATGGTGTGTTGGGTTTGACTGATATAAAGAACAATTTAGGATTAAAGAAAGGTGCGCACCAGGGGGGGGTTTGTACCCAGCTGTGAAAATCGACTAAATACATTTCTTACTGTGTTTCTCAGGGGTGTACTCCTCCACCAGCAGCTCGCAGGTTTCAGGCCCCTCGTCTATTCTGTGACAAAGGGAGATTTCGTAGCTGTCCAAATCCGTGAATGTGTCTTGGTCATCATTTGGCTCTGCAGTGGTGGAACAGAAATAGCCCTCTGTGGTGTTTTTCAGCTCGCACACAAATGTCTTTCTGTGAGGAGAAGAGAAGCAGTAATGAGAGAGGCAAATATAGTCTTCAAATGAAAAGTGACACGTACCAAGTGACAAAAAAAAAAAACACCTCACTTTTCAAATACTTCTGTGAACACGAGCAAGAAGGCGCCGTCTCCAAACGGAGCGTTCTCAGACGGTGTCATGTTCAGAGAGCAGTCCACGGTGAACAGGTAATTGTTCACACAGTGAATACAGACATCCTTTCCTAAATAAAAAAAAAACATATGAGATGTTCAGTTTATCTTCGAGTGTCACCACTCAAATGGAAGCTTGAATTTACTTTTGATTATGCTACTTGTGACATGAACAAAAGATTTGTCATGTAGTAGTTTATGACCAACTTTGTGGCACAATCTATGGAAAAGTATTTTATTATTTTTGCTTCATTTTTGCTTCATTTGAATGATCATCTATATAAATTACTCTGTTTTGAACAAATTATTTGAGGTTACTGTGGTTCACATAAACTTTTTGCACCCATTACTAACTTTTAAGTATGAAATATAGATGGGTATGAAATATAGATCATGGTGGCTTATCATATTATAGATAGAGCAGTGTAACAATGTGAACCTCAAGGCACTCTTCTTCCTTTTTTAGTTTTTTTTCACACTTCCTAGTGTCTGTGTCTATCCAGCACAAAGGCTTCTTTATGTGGGAGAACCGGCTCAGGTTCAAAGCAACAAACCTGTACTTTTGAATCCTTTTTCTGTCATGGAAAAGTAAAACTAACAAAGACAGAAATCTCTACTAACTTTCATTGTTCATTAATCCCCCAAATCTTTGGTTTTACCTTTAAGTCATTTTAGTATTACAATTTGAAGTTGACAGTTAGTTGTTATGTTCTAAAAAGAGACTCCTGAATGTAAAATAGAAGAGTGTTATGGTTAGATAAACCTTTGAAATGAAAGCCCAACCTGTGGTTGAGTCTCCTCGAAGCCGCGTGTTGTTGGTGGACATGAGCAGAGACACGATCAGCAGCATCTTCAGCCTCCCCGCACAAAGCTGATCCATCACTCCAGTCACGTAAGACAGCTCTACTCTGACATCGACTCGTACTAGCCGTAGAACTCGTGCACCAACACTTAAATGCAGCTTGAGGGAGAGGGCGGTGCCACTCAGTTCTCACACCAGCATCCTGGAGCGAGACGTGCTGTTTTTTGAGAAAGCTGCTGAAAATGACTGCGTGCGACAGTTTAACTAAATATAATACCAAAGTGATTTATTACATCCTGTTTTTCTCTCATTAACTTTTTTATGCATGTATTTTGATTTTTAAGCGATGGAACACTAGAGTTTCATAAACAGATAACTCTTCAATTCTGAGACGCTCAATAACAGCTAACAGCTTTTAAATGATTTTTGTTTGTTCAAGAGATTTCTTCCGTTTAACAGGAGCTTGCTGAGTGCGACTTGAAGGTGCAGGTAGTAATAATGTTCGTGGGAGCGGTTCTGATTATTAGGCTGATAAGATGACAAAAATAGATCTTCAAGCAGAGCCAGACTTGTCGTGAAACAAAAGTTATTCCACAAACCGCATTATATGATGCATTAACTGTTGCTTGCAGAGGTAACACAAAAAAGTACTTCCACCTGTCTATCATCCATATACCTTTCAAAAGCATGATTTGTTTCCAGTAATAAGTCTAATTTAGAAATGTCCCCATTGCTGTTACAGTTAGTAATAACTGCATGCATATTTGCAATCACAAACTGGCCCTTTGCCTTGTTGCCATGCATGGGGCTCATTGAGACCTGTATTTTTGCTCATGTCTAAGTTATGTTACTGGTACATGCTGTACATTAATACATACTGTATAACGTATACAGTGTGTATTCATTTAGTCTATAAGCACTTAATTACTTTGTTAGGTAAAGTAACAGCCAATACATGAATATGTATATTACTATGTTGGAACACGCTGTCGTGATTATTGTACAATCTACCAACATGTTGTGCAACATGACAGCGTTTAGTGCACCGACAGAAGATTAGCTGAATGATGCTTGGTTATCGTTGCAATTCTGTTCTCGATAAGAACGGAGAGTGAGGCCCACAGCTTCCTTTAAGGTTTGAGATCACATAGATTTAGAGATGTGTCAATTTACACACCCACAGCCTGTATCCTTTTGCTTCGTGCTGTTTAGTGAGAGTGAAGTCATTCTTTAAAGTTGTAAAGCTGATGTTGTACACGGTGGTAAGATGGAAGCTAAACAAAGTGACATGATTTCTGTGACCAGTAATCAACTTGCATCCACTAGCTCATTGATACGAGCACGAGCCAAAGCAGAGGCAGCTAGAACACGTCTTGCATTCGCCCAACGAGACGTGGCGCTCGGGCTCCCGGGACTTGGGTCCTGGTTCTCGGCCTGTGCCTGGGGGACGGGGCCTGGTGGGGCCTGGTGGGGCCTGGTGGGGCCTGGTGGGGCCTGGCGTGCTGTTGCTCATGGTTCTTTGGGGGCCTGTGCCCCAGGGTGGTGGGGGGGCTCTTCTGGTTGCCTTCTGGGTTGGTGCCTGGTCGTCTTTCTGGGATCTGTGCCCGGGCGGCTGCTGGGGGACCGGGTCTAGGGGCTTCTCATTCTCATCTCTTCTCATTTTTTCACATACACACACACGCCTCCTTAAGCGTCTGTACAGTTGCTGCACAATTCTGAGAAGCTCACTAATGTCCTGCTACCAGTGTTGTTGCTTTTGTTGCTTGTTTGTTCTTTTCTCTTCCCTGTGTCCTTTTGCAGGAGCTCCTATAGGTTCTCCACCCAGATTGCCCACAAGGAACAGTTTTTTTTTTTTTTTACAGAAATGGCAGCCGGTTGTATGCTTTTGTTGTCTTTATTTTTCTTCTTATTTTTCCCCCCCTTTCTCTTTCTGTCTAAAGGATCTCTTTGCTTTCCACTGCTCTTATTTCTTCCCTGTCCCTCTGTCAGGTTTGGCGTTATTGGACAGATGTAAGTTCGGTAACAAAAATGAATGAATAAAGCAGTTTTGGGTAATCAAGGGGGGCTTCTCACCAACAAAGCCTCCCTCGGCAAAGCAAATTTGTTCAGCCTAGCATGGTACTCAGATTTCAGTTCTGCTGCCATAATGCTGAACAGGACAAGAGAAAAAAATAGAAAAAGAAAATGCATTCGATTTATTTGTAGAAAAAAACGTTACATTTATTTACATGAGAAAAGCAGACGTTATAGAGATAAACTGTCATTTTGTAACTGTCTTGTTACAGTTTTCACTCTGACCTTGAAATAAGAAGAAAAGAGCCACAGTAAATAGCAACTAGAGCTTACTACGACTCAAGTCTTCATTTATAAGGAAGAGTTTAACTAGTTTTATAGCGGCAGTCGCTACACTGCACTGAGGACAACACATCCCGTTTTCAGGGTTTTTCATTTGATTAGCACACATGATAAAGTTAACGGCTTCTAAAAGGCAACAGTTGATAGTGTGCTAATGTCATTGCATTATCTTTGGTAAAGTTTGCTGCAGCTACCAATGCAAATGGCATCCTCTCACGATTCAAAGAACCAGTTTTACGACTCACATGTCAGTATTGCTATCAAAAATATCCCCTCGTCTGATCTTACTTTACCACAGAGCATAAGTAAGGCCTATTCTTGGTTCTTGAAAGCCTCAGTTAAGGTGCACAAACTTAAGTTAGAAATGAGTCTGAGATCAGCACTGATGTTCTAGTGAGATATTCTAAATTCCTCCATCTACGTTTTTTTTTTAATTTCACAAGAGTAGAGGTTATGATCTGCAACTTTATCTGAAACCTCTCAATCTGATACTACAGTTTGTTTGTTTTTTCATGTTTTTTGCAACTTTGATAAATAGTTTTCATTTTATTAATCTATATGCTGACCTGATGTGGTTTGATGGTCTAAAATATCATGCAAACAAATCAATAAAGATGGTAATGGTGAATATTGAGCTATTCTGCCAGATTAAACCTATTTTCTTCTAACCTGGAAATTGAAATTAAAACAAGAAAACGTTAAACATAAACATTTTTATTCATATAATCCAACATGTAGCTACATGTAGACTACAGAGGAACGAGTACGCTTGTTCTACACTTCAGCCATTTTTTTATGTATGCATTGTCCATAATGAAAGGATTTCCATAATCTCATAGACAAATATTTAACCTACAGTTGAACCTTTAAAATGTTAGAATGGGGTTATTTAACTATATCATGAAAAACATTTGCTGATCTTGAAGTTAACTGCAAAAAATCTCAAATGAGTTGGAACAGGACAAAAGAAAGCAGGCACATTGTTACTTAAAAGAAATAGCCGGCGGTATATACTGAAACTAATTAGGTTGATTAGTAATGGTCAATGATATGGGGGAAAGAAGCGCCTCAGAGATGGACATCATCGGTACTGAAACATCTACATAGGTTTATGAGCAGCGTCCGCCCCTTTAATCTCTTTCTCAGGGAAAAGCTTTACATAAAACTGCGGAAATGCACACAGAACTAGAAACATCAGCGTGGTGTTCTAGTATTGTCAGTGCATCTTTTGAGATATGTTGCTACCATCAAAATCAAAATTCTTTACATCATGTTGTGAAAACAATATTGGACAGATATTTCATGAAATTTACAAATCATTGCATTATTTTTATGCATGGTGGCTCTGTTTTGGGGGTTGTAAAAATCAGTTGCAAAAATAACAAGACCTAAACAACTTTTCTCTGCTAAAGGCATTCTTTTTATTATTTTTTTCCATCTTCAGTGTATTCTAAGTGTAATGAAAGTGACCCTCAAATTATGTGTTTAAAATGTTTATTCAAATTTCATTTGTAGACCAGAGTTTTAGTTAAAGTTAAGCACTTGAGGCACACCGCCATGTGTCACTCACAGGCCAGTTTGCCATCAAAGGATGACAGAGTGATGGCAAAGGCTTGCAGGGCACACATGGGGAAACTGTAATCCATAGAGAAGACGTCTTCTGCCACACGACCAAACTGCATCACGATGTAATCATCTGTGAAAGACACAAAGAGGCCAGTGAAGGTGTCAAAGGCAATGATGACGTCCTGTGTTTTTTTTTTCAGTGGAGAGAGTGAATGAGTCATTTTACCGTTGTCAGGATGGATAATCTGGAAGTTTTTCACAGAGGCCTGTGTGACGCGTCCGTGAAAGTTTAAAACGTACGACTGAGTCTGTTCATTCCAGCTCGGGGATTTGTTCACCAGTGTAACCAGCTTGTCTGTTTTACCTGTTGCATGGCGTGTCAGGAGTGTTTCACTCTCCTAGAATCAAAGGAAATATCAGTTCACCTGAAAAATGTACTCAGAAAACTCCTATGTTTAAAAAAAAAAAAAGGAATTTAAACATACTTCTTTTGGACGTATTGACACTCGTTCGTCATTCTCCAGCATACCCGGGATGATCACGGTCATCTTTCTTGGACCCTTGAAGCCCAGGACGTTTGTCTCCTAGAAGATGAGACAAATGCTTATAGGTTTCTTTGTTTCGTTTGTTTTTCATACTGTGTAAGGTAGGGTGTGTGCGTGGGGCTCACATAGCATATGGCGGCCAGTTCCTGCCGCACTGATTCACTCTCCTTGATAAATGGTTTCTTTTCTGGGTTTTCACCCCCATCATAGACCGTAAACTTTGTACCAAGGACATTGGACCTAAACAAAATCAGTCCCATTGCAGATTGGCATGCAACAAAAAGAAAAACAAGAATTTTGTTGAAACAATGACAGCCTTGCGTTACCATTTATGAACTGTGAAAACTAGATTTCAATATTCAAATGACAACATAATTTCCACTAAAAATGAGCATGTAACCCCATGATTGTTGTGAAGATGTTATTTCATGCTCATTTCAAACATTGATGCAGACTGTTCAAAATGAATATAGGCCAAAATGACTTTCGAATATAATGGCAATTGTACCTCAGTTTACCAATGTAGGAGGTTGTATCTCTGGATAGGTCTGTAGGGTCAGTGGAGATGAGATAATTGGATGTTTTGCACTTCTTCCTTTTTCTTCCAGCCATCAGAAAAACCTTAAGGCCGAAAAATGACAAACAAATTGTTGTCAGGGATAGGAACCAGATAGCTTGGATACATATATCATAGCTCAAGAAACTGGATGAATTCATTCAGAACTAATTCAACATTCAGTTAGATTTGGCTGAAATTTGCCTGAGATGCCAACCCTTTTCCCATCTTCTTTTTCCATGTGCAAGTAGTAGGTGGGATAGATTCCCTTCTCCATTCCTCTCCTGTCCCTGGTCACCCTGCACTGGATCGTCACATCTCTGGGAGCAGGACGTAAGGCAAACTTTTCAAGATCCTCCACCGACACCGGAGATGTTGACTGAAATGACAAAAGCGTCGCAAAAATTTTACCTTTGGCGACCGGTGAGGACTCAAAATATGGTGAAGCATTTTGATGTCTTACTCTTTCAATATTTTCACCGTCTGAGGACGAAGTTTCTTTGTAGTTGGAGTTGAGCGATGCAAGACTCTGAGTAGTTTTCTCGGCTTTCTTTGACTTTTTTCCTTTCTTTTCCTTATCTTGGATTTCATCATCTTTGCTCTCATCACTTATTTGACACCTGGCTGTGATCATCAACATACAGGCATTATTTTTTGCTTTGACTTCACATTATTGTTGATCATAAAAGATATTGGACCAGATCCTCACTCACATGTATCCAGTGGGTTTTTCTTCATAAGTAAAGGAGAAACATGGAGCTCCTTGTCCTCTTCATTGTCACTGTTAGCACAGTTGTTCTTTGGAGATGGCTTCTCCACCATAGATTCTGTCTCACTGTTTATGGTTTCCTGTAAATGTTTTTCTGCAAAATTGGACATTCTTAAATCGTCTTAAAAGTCTCAGCAGCATAATGTTACAGCACTGAGAGCTGCCACTTACTTTTATGCTCCTGTTTGGTAGTTTTGTTTGTCTTCTGAACATCGAGAGATTCTTTAACTTTGTCCTTCTTCTTGATTTTTTTCTCCTTTTTCTCCGTGTCTTTCTCCTTTTCTTGCCCCTTCTCCTCCAGCTGTTCAGCATCTACAAATGTTTATTGCTGGTTAATATGTGTTTTGTAGTTGAACTTGAGCATGCTTGAAAGCAAAGGAACCCACTTGATCCCAATCAATTCATCCTCAAATCTTACATTTGCCTTTCTCTTTTTTCATATCTTTCTTCTTTGTCTTTTTCCCTTCCGTTGATGCTTCATTCTCTCTGTCAAGTGTCACCTCAGGCTCACTGTCAACCACCAAGTTCATCTTTTTGGGGGTACAGGGTTTCTCTGAGGGCATCTCATCTGACAACAAGCTCGATGTCATGTCATCCTCACCCAGAGTGATCTCATCCAGGGGGTTATCATGGGCATGTTCAACTTGATCTTTAAGGGACAAACAGCAGAAAAAGCTTCAATTGGACATTTCTGAATTAAGCTACTGAAAAATCATGCGTTCCACAACAACAAAAAGCATGGAGCTTTTCTACAGCAACGAAATATCAAATCATTCTGATACCAACCACTCAGCGAGGTATTGCTCAGTGACTGGCAGATCAAAAGAGGTGTCTCTTCGGAGCTGATGGCTTTGTGTTTTCGATTCTTTTGGCGTGTATCCCGATTGGCCACAACCATTTGCGTGTCAGATCTTTTCTTTTGCTGCTTTTTCAACAAAAGAGCCCTCTGTTGGACAAATGAGAATCGTTTAACTTATGGGGAAATACATGCATCTTATATTTTTCAAAATAACACCACATCCCTTTATGCTTCTTTTTAGGTTTGAATGAGAACCAAACTCAGAGGGAATCCTGATCACCGCGTTTCGCATGGCACTGTGGAAAACTCTTGAGCCACAACTCGTGTCTCTTTTATAATTGGGACCCCTGGTCTTCTGCCACTTATTTTCAGTCCAATTTAGCACACCTCTTCTATTTTAAGTGGTTTTAGAGGACATACTGCACATTAAGCGCAATGTGCCAATAGTGTAAGCCATGCCATCATTTCAGCTGATTTTTGAGAATTTAATTTTTCAGATTCAATTTCCACTTTTGATCAAGACTACTTTAAAAGGTTCTTTGGAAGCAAATAAATTCAGAATGAAGTAGTAGTACTGTATGGGACTACTAATATGATAATAAATTTAATATAATAAAAACACTCAATCTTTCTCTAAATACATGTACATTTCCACTTGATATAGATTTCTGTTTTATTCTACTTGGATAGGATTAAAATAGGTTAAATAGACTGCATCATTATCATTCTACTGTAATATTTCTTCCATAGCTTTCCATCCAACTTGACTGACTTTAAGCATGTTAATCTTTACAGAAAATAAGCCAGGGACTCGTATCGTGTATACAACAAACTGTGACTTAAAGTTGAGTGCTTGATTCAATCAGAAGGTTGCTCTGACTGAGGCAGCTACGACACTGTGACTATCCTGAAAGCTGTATTTCTCTTCAAAGCCTGCAGTATAATCACTTGTTGGCTATTCATTGCTCCAACAACATCAATTATGGTAAATACACGTATAATTGTGCTTGAAGATAGCCATCGGAAGATAAAATGTTATTAAGTAACAATGAATTGACAGTGGTCTGTGCCCTCATCACAAGTGAACCCATAAATACAACCAAAAAACCTGGCTTGTTGGCTATGTGATAAATTCATCATGTCATACCTGATTGCCCAGCTTCTGTTGTCGTATGTCAGGGTCTTCCATGCCTCAGAGAAAACTCACAGCTAAATGCAAAGTAACCAGTAGATTAATAAGATAACAGTTTTAGAACTGAAGATAGTCCACCCTCAACGTTTACAGCGAGTTCCTTGGAAAAAAAAAGATTTAGTCTCAAAAGAAGAATCACCCAGAGCAATTAAGTATGGCAGCGGGTGTTTGATTGTGTCACCCAGCCCCATCTGCCTCTCTGTCCACCTGCATGTGGCAGAAGGCAAAGTGGATTAAAAGGGGATAATGTTCTTAAACTACACCGCACAGCTCTGTTGCTGTGCACAGGCAGGCTCTTGACCAAGACAGGCTTTATAAAGAGGTTAAAGCCCGCTGTTACAACTGAAACGTGAGGAAGGAGACGACTGGACGGTGGTTTCCCAGCCTCCGTAACTTCACCAGACGGAAAAACGAACCATGAAATAGCTGCAAACTGCGTCGGAGAACAGCCTCTAAAACTCTCCAACTTAGCGTGGTTTCTCTCATATTTGCACTCCTCAACTCGCGGGAATCCGTTTCAATGTCATAAAAACAAACGACACAGCCAAGACGTGACTGTTAACGGAACACGCCACCAGGTTTATTTCGTTACCATGGAAACGACTGCAGGGCAGTGATGGAGAGTCTGAAAGCAGCCAACAGTTAGTTCCTTTATCGTGGAATTGATTCAGCACTTTTACAATAGTTTGTCCATGGAAGAACTTGGCTTTTATTTTTTTTAAAACCTATTATAAAAGTAAATAGCGACGTTCAGGAAACAAAATAACCAAAGTAGATATGAATATTTGTAGCGTAGTTCTTTAATAACTTTTACTTATCTCGAATTAATTAAAAAATATTGGATACAATTGTAGAGTCCCTATATTTTTATTTATCGAAAAAGCTACATATGTTGATGTCGCTATTTGTCTCGCCACATTTTACGCTACGCTCAACCGGAAGAAGAAGAAGAAAATCGCTTGGTTGCTAGGATACAGTGAAACCCAAACAGGATCATAAATACGTCAGGTCTGGTCAGTTAAAAGTAAAAATACAACTGCAAGTAAAATTGTTATTGACCATCTCATGTTTACAAAAAAAACATCATAGAAAAATCATAGCTAACAGATTTCTAATCGTTTTTCCGTGAAACGTGTGCAGCTTCTCTGTTTAGTAGGAGCTCAAGTAAAATAAATGGATTGCAAAATAAAGGTAAGCTCTATGAGTTTGTTTGTTTCACAGGCAGATGTTATTATTAAAAAAGAAATGTTTTACTGCTTTTTTAAATCAAAACTAAACATCCTTCCTAGCTCCCAGCCAGCAGAACTAGGACAGCAATGCACTGCTCTGTGGGAAACGGCCACCTTTTGTCTGATCTTAGACCAGATTTGCGACAGCAAATCCAATCACAGACAGATAGAGTGATTAACACTCTTCACAGTGTTACAGCACAATATTCAAAGAGCACAACAAAATGATTGGGAATTGAACAGAGACTTAAAGTTGATATGATAGGACACAAAAAGATGAACGATAGGTAAAAGAGGCAACAGATTCTGTATTATTTAGGTATTTTCTACTCTGAGAATAGCAGGAGGCTCTTCTTTTGCAACTGTGCCCTGATATCGACACTCTAACCGCTCATTCATATACTGTATTTAAAGCAGAAATTGTTCCTCTCTGTAGTTACCACGGGAGCTGAAAGCCAAAGTCATGCTCTGGTGAGATCATTCTGCTTTATCATTACCTAACTTTAATGATACAATGTCTAACAGTACAATCCTCCACTGGCTGTTTATAGGACAGATGTAAGCTTCCACGACATGGAGGTTATCGAAAAAAGTCAGTCTATTCCTGATCTGGAGAGGTATATCTCTATGTGTTCAGAGAGAATATCATTTCTGACTCCTACTCACACGTGCAAAAATACACATGTCTAATTTTTCTGTTTTTGTTTTTCTCTTGGAAAGTGCATTGTGCGGCGTGTTTGGGGTTGACCTCCCTGAACCAAAGAGAGGAGTTCTCCTGGAACTGTATGTGGAGACTGTGCTTTTCTGCAGGCAGCACAGCTTCAAAAAAGAGCAAATCTCTGCACTTCTGTCCATCATCAGGTCCATCCATGAGGCCAACACAGGTGAGCAAAGTTTATGTAGTTGCTTGAGAATAAACCAGTTTTCAACACTGTTCGTAAGATTAACAGCTTCTGTTAATAGTTTCTGCTGTACATATATACTACCATCTAAGTCCAAATCCAAATGAGTATGTGAGATGTAGACAAAGCTAAAAAATGTATCTCACATGAGTTCAGACCTGAACTTATGTGATATGAGTTACATTAGTGATATGCTAAAATCTTCAAGTGTTCTGTGATTTGCAGAAACTCCTCTAAACAACATAGAACAGTGTGTCAAATACAGCAAGGAGCTTTTGCTTTGTCACTCAGTCAGGGTATGTCAAACAATCTGCACTACTTTATTGTAACAATCTCAGTTAACAATCATACATTTCCTTGAATGTAATTCTGCCTCTGGATACCTGCTCACCACAGCGGCCCCCCTTCAGCGTCAACATCTTCAGCTTCCAGGAGGTGGAGAGCATCCTGAAGTACATCCACAACAACTATTTGAGACACTACAAACTCTACAAGTATATCTTTACTCCAAAGGTAATAGTAAGAAATAATTGTCCTCTGTTTTCACTCTCTGACATTTATTTAACATTTCAAAAGAATTTTTCTAAACTATTTACTTTTGATGTTGTCTAATTTAACTTTTTGATGTCTCATTTTTCATAAAGATTTGTGTAAGATTTGTACTGACATCCATGAAATTCTAAGACTAGTATTATCTTGCTTTTTTTATATTTATTTCTAATTAAAACCCCCACTGTGATAAAGTGAATGATTGGAGAGGCTTAGCTTACCAGTAACTAAAAAAATGTAAAGAAGAAAAAAGGGATGTTCAAAATAGTTTATATCAAATTGCCGACTTCAAAGTTCTGCTGTTGCTCTGACTTATCTTTTGTGATTTATAACAGGGGAGGTTAATGCCACTCAGGTTTAAAAAAACAAACATTTTTCACTCATTTTGACCAGGTCAAACTCGATCTGTCACTGACATATTCTGGGACATCAGACCACACAGTGGAGGGCTCCTCTGCACCAGGTAATAACTGCAGGGCCTTAGCTGCACAAAAGTTGCATGTGACGGGGCAAAAAAATATATCAATCAAAGAACCAGAGAAGAGATCCAGTAAATTCCCTTATTCAGACTTTAATAATCAAATTCTTGCTATGAAAGGCTCCCCTTTAGAAAAAAAATGAGATTTTTTTTTTTTCTTAGGCTCATAAAATATATTAGTAATACTTTGAAGTACTTTAAATGCTTTCTATGTTGAAAATGCAACAGAGGAAGAAGCAGAGACAGACGAGTCTTCCGTCACAGAGCAGGATGCCGCCTCCACTGGTACGATCAGCAATCATCAAAGGATTTAATGTAACTTTAGAAAATACTTTTTTCTCATCAAGTGTGTCCTAATATGGGTGTATTTGCATCGTGTCCACATTTTCAGCTTCCACAGCAGACTTGAAGGCACTAGTAGAGCAAGAAGTCAGAAAGCAAATGAAGCTCGTGTCAGGACAACTCGATCAAACCATCAGAGAAAAAGAAAAGGCCTTACAGCTGAATGGGGCTTTAAATTCCTCACAGCCCAGCCTCAAAGCTAAGAAATAATGGAATAAGCGCCGGGATGAGACAATTCAAACGTTTGTTTTATTGTCAATAAAAGCTTTCTCTGCACAAACAGTTTTATGGTTATCTGCGCTTGTACAACAACGTACATCTCTGAAGCAGGCACTTAAAAAAAAAGGAAAAATGCTTCTTAGTAGACTGACAACTGAAATGAGTGGGGAATGGTGTGTTCACAGTCAGGGATGAATGTTTACATGCAGGGCAGGATTACACATAAAAACACTCAAGTTACCATAACTGTTTCACACAGGCCCTACAGTACTGAAGTGTAATACTGGAATATCTGTAAATCTAAGCTTTAATATAGCATCAAAGACTCAAAATAACTAATCACAGTGCTTTGATTTCCACTTCACTCGTGTAGCGCTAGGAAATGCATATTCTCCTCAACTGAAGCGAACCATTAGCAGGTCAAATCTAACACATTAGCAGTTATTAATTCAATCAGATGATTGTGCGACCATGTGCCCTCCACTATAAAGTGCACTGCAAACAGGATGATGACAAGACTGGAAGAGTTCCAAATTGTCACAACCTTGAATACGCACACAGAAAAAAGGGAATATCGAGTCATGCATGCATCTTCACTTTGTGCATGAAGGCACACCAGCGCGCTGTTCCCTGAATTACAAATCAAAGAATTAAACAGTAACTCGACACGACGAACATTGGCCTGCCGGCCCGTGCACAGGGGTTAAATAAAACAAAAAAAAGTAACATGGACAGGAATGAAGTTGACCTCTTATTAGGTTTCAAAGTCCTCCAAACCCAGCAGGACGATCTTGGCTGTGTTCTGAAAGAGGGCCGCTCGGTTCTGTTGCTCCCCTTTCTTCACCCAGTGGCCGTAGATGCGGAAGGCGCAGCCGTCGATGAGCTTGCGGACGCCCCGGAGAGAGTAAGGATCTCTGGCCAGCACGTCCCGGGTGAGTGGCCGAGCCCTTCGGTAGCGGCCATAAATCCTGATGCAGGCGAGGACGCTTACTATCAGAACCTGGGGGAATGGAGGGAGGCAGAATGTAGAGACGGTTTGCGTTAGCACGTGCCACTTGTGAAAAATAGAAAATGAAATAAAGTTTAGAGTGACCCACCCTAAACGTTTTTCTGGGACTGAAGAGGCGGACATCCTCCCTCTGGTACAGTCTGAAGAAGGGGTGTAATAAGGCCTGCTCTGCAGTGAGCCGGACACACGGCTCCACCACCAGCAGCCTGGATATCTGGGTATCGCAAGGAAAAGGATCATGCACAAAAACACAAAGTTAAGGTTAAAAAAACACACCACTTTTAATATCAAACATTGCTTCCCACATTTAGCTTGAGAGCATGTTCAGACTTAAGACGAGATCAGTGAGAATCAGTTGAAAAGATGTCAGCTCACCAGATCTTTCACAGTGTCAGACCTGTCGTCCCACTCCGGGGAGCCGAACTGATAGCGGCCCTCCATGATCATCCTCAGCATCAGCATCTGTTTGCGGTGCCAGAATGGCGGCGACCCAGCAAGCAGGGTGAAGAAGATGACGCCACACGCCCAGCTTCCAAACAGGTACAATGCAAAAGTTTAGGTGCTGTGACAATGGTGCACCACTGATCAAAGACGGGGGAGAGACTTACAGGTCAACCTCCTTGCCGTAGCCTGGGTGCATTTCATCCATGGAACATTTCAGTATTTCAGGGGCCAAATAACCAGGCGTTCCACAAAGCTCTAATTATTAGCAAAGACAGAACAGAATGGGTCTATGAGCCCTGTCTACACAAAAAATCCCAATTCTTTAGATTACCGTTGACTTTAAATGATCTGCAGTCATACCTCTGAGCTTCTCTCCAGGTTGTAGCTGCACGGAGAAACCGAAGTCGGAAAGTTTGATGTGGCCATAATCATCCAGGAGAATGTTCTCGGGTTTCAAGTCTCGGTGGACAATGTTCAAGGAGTGGAGGTACTGCACAGCCTCCAGCAGAGCTCGCATTATGGACCTGTGGAGAAACAAAACTGATACTTATTCATTTTAAATGGATTAAGTCACAAATCTATTCATCGGCCAAGACCAACACTGGATCTGTGTATTTCACGTCGACAAACTATACTGGTTCTATTAAACTTAGGAGGAAAATAATACGCAATTTAAATCAGAAGGACCCCATTAAAAAAAACTTGTGTTAAGCAGGAAAAAACATCAGTTGAATTTCTCACTGATCAGTAGAATGACTTAGCATAAAAAAACGAAGATCATCATACAGTTCTTAAGAAGAAAGTGAAGTCAACTGGGATGAATATTTAAACACTATTATACAAAATTGAAAGAATTTTGGGATATGACTGCAATCATTACATGACTAACATTATTATTTTTTCAAGCTGTGTTTTATTACAGTTCAACTGTATGTTAGCATCCTGTCAGGATAAATAAGCTCACCTGGTCTCCTTCTCACTCAAAGTCACTTTTTCTGTGAGGTAGTCAAACAGCTCTCCTCGTCTCATTCTGTTGACAGGAAAAAAACATATTGAGGCCATCTTGCAGAAGCTTAATCTGTATTAGGTTTTTACTTGTTAAACTTGACTGATTAACTGATACTATCAGAGCATGTTTAGTTTTTTTATCTTCATACTCACAGGTCGAACACCAGAAAGATGAACGTTGTGGACTCATAGGAATCAATAAGAGTGACTAAAGGGAATGAAAAATCATAATACATCATCAGTGCTTTTGAAGCTTCAAGAAAGAGAAAATATTAATAAATATTGTAGTCTTTCAAAGCAGCACTGCAACATACTGATGGAGGAGTGTCCCTTCACCATGTTGAGAACTTGGATCTCTTTCAGGGTGGAGGTTTTCACCTCCTCCAGCTGCTGGGCTGTCATCTTCTCCGCTGTGATCTCAATGATTTTCACTGCCAACTCTTGGCCAGTGTGTCGGTGAACACATCTGCGCACCACACTGCTAACACCCCTGTGGCAACACAAAAACATAGCATGTTTTCCTTATCTGACATCAAGACGAAGCAATGCACTGATAGGATGCTATTTACAGGACTCACCTGCCAATCACCTCCTTGGGGTCATACTTCTGGTAAAACTCCTTGGCCCCAACCCAGTCGGGTAATTCATCTCCAACAACGATGTCCTTGGTCATAATGAATCTATAACAACAAACTCAGTCACATGTCAGTATGCAACCGTGCAGCTTGTTTACCATTTACTGAGCAAACTCTTGATAAGGAAGTCTTTTCTTCCTTTTTGCTTCGGCTTAAAGTGAAAACCTGCACTTTGTTAGAAACGTACAAAACCCTAGGCGGTATAAAAATGTATAGCATTTTTAAAACATTTATCTCTCATAACCTTTTAGTAAGTGCGTCTTTGATGTGGCCTTGCGTCTGCACTGCAGCAGGTTCACTGACCGAACAGGAAGCTACTCACCTTCAATGTCTCGAACAACAACAACAAGGAGACGGTAAATACGAATCAATATAAGAGAGCCATGTCCACTCGAGGTATTTATCTCGAAACCATAGCTGCCAGTAATTCAGTGGCAACAGCACCGAAATAACCCAAAAGTGATAGCTCAGACCTCAGCGCTGTTTACATTCTGGTCAAATTCCTTGAGAACATTTTGTTACCGGTTATTTCCGAGGGTGACAGTACTGCCCTCGACAGGCCGGAGTGAAAATTACAAGATGTTTTTCTTTTATGCTCCAGGGTTTTTGCAATGACACAAAAAATGAGTAAATATTGCTCGTAATGTTATGGGAATTTAACAATAAAAAATTTACTTCATCAGTTTTTTATGCAAAAATGATTTGTATTAAATACGAAAAGGCACGAAGGAGGATAGTGCCCACATGGGTACGACAGTAGTCCAACTGTTTGCAGTTTTCTTTAAAACGTAGAAGAAGAACATGCGTGTCGTCGTTTCCTGTTCCTCCCCTGGATGTTCTGAATTACATTTTCAGGCGCTCCTTACGAAGGTCTGTGATAATAAGTGTTCTGCAAAAAACTGACAGTTTCTATAATTTTGTGCAATTTTGGATGTCTTTATAGAATGTGTTATATGTGGAAACATAGCCTGTGAATAAATATACCGACCACAACTCGTTAAATGCGTTTGACAACGAGCGCTGTGCAGCTAACCAATAGCTAGCATTAGCAAAGTAAGTACTAGCAAGCTCGAGTCCAGAAACGATAAACTCACATAAACGATATTTTTTTAGGCACCAGTTTAGATAAGTTTTAAATCGGCCTTACTCAGCCAAGATTACATGGTATCGCTAAACGAGCTGTAATTTAATCCGTAAGGAACAGTGGTTCTGTGCTCTTAGAAAAAGCTAAATGCTGCCACAAACTGTCATTGAATAATCTTTTTTCATATTTGTGTGCTAATCTATTTATGCTGCTCTAATGCAAATTTTACATGTCCTGTTTGATTTTTTGTAGGAGAAGGCAAGATGTCAGGCGCTGGGGGAGGAAAGCGTCCCTCGGGAGGGGATAGTCCCCCTGGTCCACCGGAGAAGAAAAGCAAGAAGGAGGAGAAGACCACCACCACCCTTATTGAACCCATACGTATAGCAGGAGTGTCCTCCACGGTCAGTCGCTGTTCTCACTTAGCCATTTGTTGTCCATTTGTAACAGCAGTTTAATATTGCCTTACAATATTTAGGAGCTGGAATAATCCTGATTGTGATTTCTATTATTGTTTAATACAGGAAGAGATGGACATGAAGGTGCTCCAGTTCAAGAACAAAAAGCTGTGCGAGCGCCTGGAGCAGAGGCAGGCAATGGAGGATGAGTTAAGAGAGAAAATTGAAAAGCTTGAGAAGAGACAAGCCACTGATGACACCACGCTCCTGATTGTCAATCGCTACTGGTCACAGGTACAATATTGATAGCATTGTGGTAATAAAAAAAAAAGAAACGTCTAACAGAACAGATTTACACCCAGTGGTCACTGCATTGTTTACATTATACTTTTATGTTCGTATATAAATATTTCTCTTCGTATTTGAGGATGTTGATATGAACTTTTTTAAGCATGTTGAATCATAGTAATGTACAAATCATGTATGGCATCTCTGTCAACAGGATTAAAACCAAATCTTCGTTTCTCTCATTTGCAGCTAGAGGAGAGTGTGCATGTTCTGCGCAAATGTATTGAGCCTGAAGCCCCATCAGCATCTGCCCCTGCCCCGCCTACGGCACCTCTCCCTGACCCCACACCAATGGGAGATGATGGTGTCAATATGGCTTCACCGGGTTCCATTGTGCCTCCTCCTCCTCCTCCTCCACCAGAAGGCCAAGGTGAGGCTGAGCTGAACATTCAGCCGCCGGCAGAGTGTCAAGAAGAGCGGCAAGAGGAGCAGAAGCCGCCGCCCCCACCCACTGGGTCAGACGAGTTAATGACGCCAACAGAGCCTTCACAGGATTCATTACCAGGTGTAGTGCATTGAAAGTAGAAAAATAAACCTTAGTTTTATTATTCCATTTGATCTCTTAGATTTATTTAAAGTTATTATACTAGCAGTTATAATTCTGACATCCTTATTAGCATCTTAGTACGTAGTCTTAACAGTTTCCTTGTATCTTCAGATGGATCAGAACCTCCTCTTCCCCTAAGTGAAAACGCCAAGGGGTTCTTAACCACGTTGGAGCAGAGCAGCGAAGAGGAACTAACCTTACACCTACAGGACCGCATGCAGTTTAGCAAAGAGGCCATTGCCCACTTGGTCTGCGTCTTCGACAGACTGCACAGTGGCATTGACGACATGTGTAGGTTCGTCAAGGCTGCAGGTAACTGATGTTCCATTACATGCATAGACGTTCATTCATTAACACTCATTTAGTTCAAGAATTGCATTGATTTCACATTTACTTGAAGCCTCAAGATTAATTGCTGCCACTGACTGAGCATCTTAAAGTATGTCTTTACTACCTGTGAACAGACTTTAAATGTGAGCAGTGTTTTTTTAAATTTTTAAAAAAAATTTTACTCCTGCAACACCCACTCTGATTTCAACAACTGTACTTACAGTATCTGTACTTTATTGTTAGCGTGTGACAGCGACGGGCAGTCTGACATCGGCCTGAACCAAACGCTTGTGGACGAGAATACACGACTACGAGACCTCGCCATGCTCCTTCAGGGACGACACCACAAGATGTCTTTGGAGGTACGATGTTATGAGCTTAAGTGTTTGCAAATATGGGTATGAAAAGATGTTGACTGATATGGAAATTTTGAATGTACAATATTTTAGTTGATACATAAGTGATGATTTTTAAAAAATCCTTAAATTTCCTAAATTAGTACAATGAGTTGGTGGATAAAGTGACCAGTGCAGAGACAAAGGTGTCTGAAATGGAGACAACGGTGGAGGACCTTCAGTGGGACATAGAGAAACTTCGCAATAGGGAACAGAAGCTCAACAAACATCTAGCGGAGGCAATGGAGCAGGTATGATGTTTGTCGTAAACTTTTTGTCTTTGCTGCTTTCTTTCATTTGACTTTATGCCTTTCTTATTGTCCTCAATATATAGCTGGTAGTTGATTTAATATATCTGAATATGAGATTGGAACACAGTGACACAGTAATAGGTCGACTGTGATATTTAAACCAATTTGCATGTTTTTTTATTGAGCCTGTCCTTTAAAGATTTACATCCATCCATCCATCCATCCATTCTCCTCCGCTTATCCGGGGTCGGGTCGCGGGGGCAGCAGCCGGAGCAGGGAAATCCAGACTTCCCTCTCCCCGGCCACTTCGGCCAGCTCCTCCGGGGGGATCCCGAGGCGTTCCCAGGCCAGCCGGGACACATAGTCCCTCCAGCGGGTCCTGGGTCTTCCTCTGGGCCTTCTCCCGGTGGGACGAGCCCGGAGCACCTCCCCAGGGAGGCGACCAGGAGGCATCCTGATCAGATGCCCGAGCCACCTCAACTGGCTCCTCTCCACGTGGAGGAGCAGCGGCTCTACTCCGAGCCCCTCCCGGATGGCCGAGCTTCTCACCCTATCTCTAAGGGAGAGCCCAGCCACCCTGCGGAGGAAACTCATTTCGGCCGCTTGTATCCGCGATCTCGTTCTTTCGGTCACTACCCAAAGCTCGTGACCATAGACGAGGGTGGGAACGTAGATCGACCGATAAATTGAGAGCTTCGCCTTTAAGCTCAGCTCTCTCTTCATCACGACAGACCGGTACAGCGCCCGCATTACTGCAGACGCCGCACCGATCCGCCTATCGATCTCACGCTCCCTACCCCCATTCGCAAACAAGACCCCGAGATACTTGAACTCCTCCACTTGGGGAAGGACGTCCGCTCCGACCCGGAGAAGGCACTCTACCCTTTTCCGGTGAGAGACCATGGTCTCGGACTTGGAGGCACTGATCCTCATCCCAGCCGCTTCGCACTCGGCTGCAAACCGCTCCAGTGAGAGCTGTAGGTCCCGACTTGATGGAGCCAACAGGACCACATCATCCACAAAAAGCAGAGATGCGACCCTAAGGCCACCAAGACTGACACCCTCAACACCTCGGCTGCGCCTAGAAATCCTGTCCATAAAAGTTATGAACAGGACCGGAGACATAGGGCAACCTTGGCGGAGTCCAACTCCCACCGGAAACGAGTCCGACTTACTACCGGCAATGCGAACCAGACTCTGACTCCGGTCGTACAGGGACCGAACGGCCCGTAACAAGGGGCCAGGTACCCCATACTCCCGGAGCACCCCCCACAGGATACCCCGAGGGACACGGTCGAACGCCTTCTCCAAGTCCACAAAACACATGTGGACTGGTTGAGCGAACTCCCATGCACCCTCTAGGACCCCGCTGAGGGTATAGAGCTGGTCCAGCGTTCCACGGCCAGGACGAAAACCACCCTGCTCCTCCTCGATCCGAGGCTCGACTATCCGACGGACCCTCCTCCCCAGAACCGCTGAATAGACCTTCCCAGGGAGGCTTAAGAGTGTGATCCCCCTATAGTTGGAACACACCCTTCGGTCCCCCTTTTTAAATAGGGGGACCACCACCCCAGTCTGCCAATCCAGCGGGACTGCCCCTGATGTCCACGCGATGTTGCAGAGTCGCGTTAGCCAACGCAGCCCCACAACATCCAAAGCCTTAAGGAACTCCGGCCGGATCTCATCCACCCCCGGGGCCTTGCCACCGCGGAGCTTTTTGACTGCCTCGGTGACTTCAGCCCCGGAGATTAGAGATCCAAACTCCGGATCCCCAGGCTCTGCCCCTCCAACGGAGGACGCGCCAGTGGGATTGAGGAGGTCCTCGAAGTACTCCGCCCACCGACCCACAACGTCACAAGTTGAGGTCAACAGCACACCATCCCCACTGTAAACAGTGTTGGTGGGGCACTGCTTCCCCCCCCTGAGACGCCGGATGGTGGACCAGAATCGCCTCGAGGCCGTACGGAAGTCTTTTTCCATGGCCTCCCCAAACTCCTCCCACGCCCGGGTTTTTGCCTCGGCGACCACCCGAGCCGCACGTCGCTTGGACTGCCGGTACCCATCGGCTGCCTCCGGAGTCCCACAGGCCAAAAAGGCCCGATAGGACTCCTTCTTCAGCCTGACGGCATCCCTCACCGCCGGTGTCCACCAGCGGGTTCGAGGGTTGCCGCCACGACAGGCACCGACAGCCCTGCGACCGCAGCTCTGGGAGGCCGCGTCATTGATGGAGGCGCGGAACACATTTACATTAATAGTGAAAATAGTAATCATGTTTTTTGCATGATTCTTCTCCCCTCAACAGTTTTTTTTGTGAAATTGAAGTTTAAATAGCTCGGTTATGGTCATGTTTCATTGAACTTTTATCGTCTTTTTAAAAGATGTTGATATTAATATGGTAACAGCTTATTTTTTAAATTTGTTTAAAAATCTTGTTGAGGGGTTTCTTCTTCATTTAATGTGTGTTCTGCTTTGACTGAGCAGCTGAAGTCTGGCTACAGCAGCACAGGGAGCTCAGGTGGACTAGCTGGTGGCCAGATAACTCTGAACATTCAGAAGGTGAGAAGAAGGGTTTTTATTAGTAATGTATGTGACTTTGCTAAAAAATGTGAAAGGGCTTTTGTTTCGTGCACGCAATTAAGTCTTTGTTGTTGTTTTAGTTTGAAAGTCTAAATGCAGAGTTGGAACACAACCAGGAGTTGGCCAATAACCGAATGGCGGAGTTGGAAAAACTGCAGGTGGAGCTCCAGGAGGCTGTGAGAGAGAGTGAAAAGCTCAAGGTAAAGATGTTCCTTTGCTGCATCTTTTCAACAGTAATCCAATTTCGTTTAATGATGTTTGATTAATTTTTTTTATTATGTGAAAACTTTGCGTGTAATATAGGACTATATGGTGTTTATTGCTTGTTTCTCTATATTTACTAATTTTACTAATTTTTTTTAGATGGATTTGCGCAATATTCCAGAAGAGGTTGTGAAGGAAACCTTAGAGTACAAGTGTCTGCAGTCTCAGTTCTCACTGCTGTATAATGAATCTCTTGGGGTAAAAACCCAGCTGGATGAAGCCCGGGCTCTCCTGCTCACTGCAAAGAACGCCCACCTCCGCCAGATTGAGCACATGGAGGTGAGTTTGCAAGGGTTTGTTTGTAGCACTGAGTAAATGCAACGCCAGCGTGAAAGTCCCACTTTATGAATATGTAGAAGTGGTTTTCCACATTTTCTTTTTTTCAACAGTTGATTTTTATGATCCATGAATTTAAACACTTGTGTTTTATTACAACTGCTTAGCAACACGGTCAACAGTGTTTTCCCCTATTTTTAGAGTGATGAGCTGTCCCTTCAGAAGAAGCTCCGAACTGAGGTGATCCAACTGGAAGATACTTTGGCTCAGGTCCGAAAAGAGTACGAGATGCTGCGCATCGAGTTTGAACAAAACCTGGCCGCTAATGAACAAGCAGGTACACCGTTTTTTTTCCCCTTTTAGCAGGAAGTACACAAAGAATGAGCACAAAGTTGTTACTCCTGCCATTTATACAAAATGTTTCCTTCTTTGTAAAATGTAGTAGATTGAAACCTGAATCTGTTCAATTTTATTAAGACCTTATATAATCTGCAGGCACGGTAGAGATGCAAGCGGCTCAGAATCCTGATGATGAATGAGTCTGAATCAAATCGCACCGTAAGTGCATCCTGTCTTAAACTTTCTTTTCTCACCAAGGACCAATTAACAGGGAGATGCGGCACTTAATCAGCAGTCTTCAAAACCACAATCTTCAACTGAAGGGCGATGTGCAGCGCTACAAGAGGAAGCTGCGGGAAACACAGATGGAGATCAATAAGGTAGACAAAGTGGCCATGAATGTATTGTTGCTTGGAGAGGGCCGCTCAGTAATGGTGATGAGAATTCCCCACAATTTGACTTGCTTTAGCAGCTCCGTTGTCAGAGTGGAGACGCAGGGGTTTTGATTCTAGAGGAGACGACGAATGACAGCATCGACGTGAAGAAGGAGGAGGATGAAGACCACGAGGAGGAGGAAGAGAGGAGGAAGGAACTGGAGAGACAGCGGGCCCGGGAGAGAGAGCGCGAGAGGGAGGCCGAGCGAGAACGAGAGAGGGAGCGGGAGAGGGAGAGGCAGCGCAGCGACGAGATGAAGAGGAAGGACTCGGATACGCTAAAGATGCTCAGAGTGGAGCTGAAGTACGTCCCACTGCCCCTCCACTGTACCTGACATGTACATTTTTAAACTAGTTGACAGTTCGGACTGGACTGGCCATCTGAATCCTGTAAAGCTCGTTTAGTTGACTTAAAATGTGTAATGAGACCTTGTGCAGGTATGTAATGTTGGCGTAGCCATCTCGCCACAAAAGGTTTTAAGAAAGAACTCATACTCTGTTTTGTTCCAAAGTTAAAGTGCTAATAAATATCGGCCTACTTTCCTCACATCAGCTTATAAAACTACATTTTAAAAAAAATTAAAAATTTTTACTGCCCTGCTTCTCTCTTTACATTTTCAGAAAAGCCCAGGAGTCACAGAAAGAGATGAAGCTGCTTTTGGACATGTATAAATCGGCTCCGAAAGAGCAAAGGGACAAAGTGCAGCTAATGGCAGCTGAGCGCAAATCTAAAGCAGAGGTTGGCTGTGACCTCATTCTTTATTCCTTCTTCTTTTGTCCTTTACATACAAGTGAAGGTTGAATTCCCAATTTTTGTTTTCAATGGTTCAGGTTGAGGACCTGAGGATGCGAGTGCGGGACCTGGAGGAGAGGGAGAAGAAGGAGAGCAAGAAGCTGGCCGATGAAGATGCTCTCAGAAAGATCCGTGTGGCTGAAGAGACCATCGAGCATCTGCAGAAGAAGCTTGCAGCGACAAAGCAGGTACCTTCGTGCAGCGCATTCACCAATGTGTCAGCTTTATCCACTTAGGAGAATCCTGTTTATTCCGCCTTTAAAGCAGCATAGTAAAGTGATTAAAGATGTTTGTAGGAAGGACATTTTACAGTTGCTGATGGCAGTATACTGACATGCTCTTCGACTCTGAACGCATCAGTAAGAAAATGAGTATACCATCAGCCCTGTATGCACGTTCCGGGACTTCACCCGTGATGTGTAGAAACAAGCAGCTGTGTTTTAAGTGAAACTATTGAGCATCACATTTGCCTAAGAAAGAAGTTCTCCTAATCTTACACGAACTGAAAAGGGAACTGAAAGCCGACGCAGAGAGCCTTGATGTGTCCAGCTGAGCGTATTGATCGATGACCACCTCATATCTTGAGGTGCCACACGATCACTAATGGCTGTAATGCCTTTGGCATATTCAGGCCTTTTTTGGGCATACTTTGTAAAATTAGTTATGCTTCCAAATCCTGTTTTGGTGCAGAATGGGGAAATGACTATTCTGAAACACTTGCTCCAGTCTAAATGAGGCTCAGTTGTACATTTACAGAGTAAAATCATTATACAGCAAATCAGCCTGAACACATTATCATCTCTGTATTTCCTTTACTAGCAACAAAACAAGAGGGGAAAATATCAATAAAAAAAAAAGGATGAGGCCAATTTAAAAAGCAGTACAAACCAGAAAACAAGGCAGAAACCAGTTTGGATGGTAATGGTGAGATCTTCAGTATAATCCTATCTGAAGACACTAACTTGTAAATCGAGGAATGTTAATAATATTATTAACTCCATCAGAGGCTTTTTGGCTCGCATGAATTGCGTTGTGTTCGCACGTCGCTAAACAGGGTGAGATTTTCCACGTCAGGTTTGAACTGCAGCAGATGTTGAGATGCGATCTGCCCGGAGCTCCTCATGCTTGGGAGGTCTTGCAGAACTTCATTAACAGAATGTAAAAAACCAGCTTTGACAGATGAAACATAACTAAGCTTTCCCTTTTTACCTTTTATTCTGAGTGACTGCAATGGAGGCAGAGGTGTTGATTTGTTTGAGTCCTTTTTGTCTGCCAAAACCACCCAATAAATGGTCTACATGTGAGTTAATGTGAGCTGTCTTTACGGGCCCCTGTTAGTTCATAAATGGGCGGCTTGAGCAAAAATGTACAAATTCAGTTGAGTAAATTTAGTTTATGTGGATTGTGTAAAACGGAACAGGTGTGTTTGCAAAGGGTGGCTCTGTTTCCAGATAAATTCCAAATTAAATGACTCCGGCTTGGGCCTGCTGAGCGTTAGAAAAAGGGATCGCTATCTCTGTTTAGGCATAACCCATAAAAACCTTCAATCTGCAAACTGGACTAAGCCACAGTTGTTTGTTCACATGCGCAGAGACACAGTGCAGGACAGATTTACTCACTAAAAATGAGACTTCTTAAACTGCATATTCTCTGTATGAATGCTGAGAAATCAACAACTTCCCTCAATGATGTAGTTTTCTGTAGCAGCAGACCTGCCTGCCTTTTTTTGGCCCGAATCACTGATACATATTTGTGACTTGAGGAGGAGGAAGCCCTGTTGAGTGAGATGGACGTAACCGGACAGGCCTTTGAAGACATGCAGGAGCAGAACAGCCGGCTGCTGCAGCAGTTGCGGGAAAAGGACGATGCCAATTTCAAGCTGATGAGTGAGCGGATAAAATCCAACCAGATCTACAAGCTGCTGAAGGAGGAGAAGGAGGAGCTGGCTGACCAAGTTCTCATATTCAAAACCAAGGTGAGGTGCAGAGTCTTAACCTGGATGAAGCGACAGCCCGGTGTACATCAGGGCAGCAAAGCAGCTTCTGGTTTCTGCTGCTGGCTCTTCTAGGTGGATGCCCAGCTGCTGGTGGTCCAAAAGCTGGAGGAAAAAGAGGGAGTGCTGCAGAGTACACTGGCTGCTCTGGAGAAGGAGCTGGCTGTCAGAACACAAGCATTAGAGCTCAACAAAAGAAAGGTGAGAGGAACCATAGAGCATACTCGATACTCCTCTATCCCCTGATTTCTGATACCAGTATGAACAAATATTCATTCCTCCACTTCGTCACAACACAAACAATATAGGAAATGCGACTTGTATACATAGAAAACTTCTTTTGAATTTTTTGTATTAATCATCGTCATTGTTACACATCAGGACGTTTATCATCAGAAAATAGAATTGGCTGCTTTCTGCGCTCAAACCGTTTCAAATCAGTTGAGAAATCCAACAGCTTACAATATGGAAACTAAGCGCAATTTGCTGTGAAAGGAGAAAGTCCCAGTGTAAATAGTGAGGCTCCAAATGTCTCATCACTAATGCTCACAGTACCACCACATTACCATTCAGGAATCTCCTCACTGTTCCGGCTTCCTTCCCCTCTGCAGGCGGTGGAGGCGGCGCAGCTGGCAGAAGACCTGAAGGTGCAGCTGGAGCACACGCAGGCCAAGCTGAAGGAGATCCAGGTCTCTGTGGCGGAGAACCGCACCGCCCGGGAGAGGGAAAGCAGCAACCTTAAACGAGCACAGGTATGCTGCATCCCATTACCGAGCATATCGCTCCACATCTGCAACGAATGGCTGCCAAGGCTCTGATTTATTGCATTTGCTTTCAGTTAAAATGTTTAGCCGCACAGCTAACAGGTTCCATCCTCTTGCTCTTTCCAGGAGGAGCTTTCCCGCCTGCGACGGAAGCTGGAGAAGCAGAAGAAGGTGGAGGTGTACTCTGATGCAGATGAGATCCTCCAAGAAGAGATAAATCAGTACAAGGTGAAAATGTGTGTTTTTATTAACCCCTCTGTGCCAGGAAAAGTACACAGACACCAGCGGACTCTTAGGGAAGTGTAAAATGGACTGTTTCAGGCAGACCACTTTACTATGGTGGGAAAACAGGCCTGTGAGTAATGCAGCATTCCACAGCTTTGTAATTGTCCTAATTGCCCAGTAGTGGCAGTTTTATGTTTAATAGCATGGATCATAAAGTGATGTCAGATCTCCTCAGAAAGATTGCGATCCCTTTGTGCTGGAGGGACCTGGAAAACTGCACTTGTTACACCCTCGAACGCTGCTGCTCAAGAAATGGAGGTAATAAAACGGTTAGCAAGTCATTAATGGCCCACACGCATGTATTTGTGTCTCCTCAGGCCAAGCTGCGTTGCCCCTGCTGCAACACGCGAGACAAGGAGACCGTTCTCACCAAGTGTTTCCACGTTTTCTGCTACGAATGTCTTAAGATGCGTTACGACACCCGACAGAGGAAGTGCCCCAAGTGCAACTGTGCCTTTGGCGCCAACGACTTTCACCGCATCTACATCACCTAAGTCACATAGAACCCAAGGAGATGATGATGCAAATGTAGACGGAACCAAAGGAGGGGGGAAAAATAGACGTCAAGCAGGCGAACTTGAGATTTATTCAAAGAGGCAGACATTTGGGGGATCTCATGGCTGTATCCCAGTTTTAATCTCTTTGGAAAGACTTGTTTTATCACCTTTTTTGCCATTGATGACCAAACATAGTGATATATCTCAATGAGAGTGTTGTGACGTAGTTAATAAATGCAGATGTTTGTGCACACACTGATATTCTTACATGTTGAGCTGCTCCGAGCTGTTTTTATCTTTGCTGTTCTCATCAATGTCACAGATCCTCTCTTTGAACAAACTGGGCCAACTTTTAAAGCTCCTTAATGTATCGGAAAAACTGTACT